ATCATCATATGCATAGACATATACACGTATGTGGGAGCTTTCGCGAGCTGCGCCCCGGCGAAGCTCACAGCCGCGTTCGATGCAGAGTGCAATTGAACTGGGTCCCGCTGCAAGGCTCCAGCTCCTCCTTTACCCATCAATCGACAGAACGCTTGAAGCCCTTAGGAATATTTACATGCCAGTATATACCCAATTCTCTGAGTTTCCGGCAGATAGGCTGATATGGTTTCATTTTGAAGACGTCTCCTGAACTGGGATATGGGTGCCACAAGGTGAAGTCCACATTGCAGCAGGCAGCTGAGTCCCCAACCGAATCCATAGGCTCAGTTCACGGACTTCGCTGAGGTCCCGGTAGCTGATAGTAGGATCGTGAGCCTCGTTCTGTTGTGATAAAGAGTCCCATGACAAGCGAGACATGACGAGATGATCGCCAAACGGTCCTCGTCCACTGGTTGCAAATAGCATTCAGCTTCGGGTGGAACGACCTGAAAAGGGAAAGCCGGACCGATCATTCTTAGGAAACGCCCAGAAGCACCGACAGCAACTGCCAAGAAGTCTGGATGAACATGCCTGCTCATCAGGGCGATCGAAATAGGCGATGGAACTGTATCTCCTCACGCTGTCTCAGGGCGACCGTCATTACTGCATACTTGACAGTGTTGTACTGCAGCAGAAAGAGCACAGAAGATTCTGCATGCAATCTGTCCTGTACCAGAGGTTGAAGTACTTTGGATGCTTTCGCATCGTCTCCACCCGGTGCGCACGCCTCATTCGTAATTTGACAGCTTTGCCGCTATCGGTTGTAGCTGGTGTCTGGTAACAAGTGGGACAAAAAGACGGCTGTGGCAAGGTCAAGCTTGAAGTTGGGGACTTGCATCATAGGGACCCTTAGGGGGTAGTGGGGTAGGGGACTATACTTCCTTAAATAGGCCTTATTAAGTCCTTACTATGGGTTTTAAGGCCGCCCAACCCCCTCCCCCCTACCCTTTTAAGGGTCCTTCTGGTGAATTTCCACTTGCTTCGAAAGCCACCGCGAAAGTTGCTCACAGACTTAATGCGGGCATTTAAGGCTCTTGGAAGCAAGCTTTGCCCCCGTCGAAAGCCAATTCAGACCCCGGTGGCCATGGACACAGTGCTAACCTCAAAGTGCAGGAACTCGTGAGTTGCATGTTCGGATTGGTCTTTGGCCTGAGGTCGTTTAGCAGGGTCACGCAGTGCTGGAAGATTCCTTCATCCACACACCCTGGCGGCCATCTCTGCTTAATTGAGATCGCGGCTTTCTGGGAGTATTGAGCATTTCCGGGTGATCAGTGGGTTTTCTGGTGCAGTGCATCGTGTGATGCGAAGAACACTGCCAGTAGCAGGCACCATCAGCAAGCGCAGCAGCATTTGAAAGAAGCAGCGCGGAGAAAAAGGCTGGCAAGGTACCCCGTAGCCCAGCAAGTCTTCCCGCAGTTGGTCCGCATAACTGATGGAATTCTTACATGCCGGGTTTGCATCCTACACATGTCCACTGCATCGCAGGGTAAGCACAGGACACCACGGCGCCCACACAAAGGTAGGGCCTCTAGACCAGGCGATCAGGGAGAGAGAGGGAGAGAGGCGAGCGAGCGAGCGCACAGCAAGCAGTCCGAAGGTCATACAGATGCCGATGACATGACTGAGAAACCCGACTGATGCTTTGCGAAGCCTCTGGCTTGCAATGCCCACAGCCAACAGACCCTAAGGACCTTGCAGCGATTGTAAACGACCAAAGCCTGTCGGCAGTTTCACCTGACCATGGGTTTGTGGCTCGATGCATTTCTCTGCAAGCAGTGTTTTAGCATCACCATTCGAGTTGGCAGGGACCTGTAGAGAGCACTCTGGTAGCAGAGGATCACTCGTCCACGTACTACCTTGGCCCGCCAGCGACGGAAACGCTCAAGCAAGGAATTCACCGAACTGGCAGCAGAGGGGAAGTATGCGCACCCTGAGCATCCGGCACGGACAGTTGATCATTGACTTGTCAACCAGCAGGAGGCTTCGGCAATAGCTCGACGTATGACTGCAGGGAAGACACGCTGACCAGCTGTACATGCGGTCGAACAAACCAGCAGAACCAAGTACTGATGCGTGACACACCGCAACGCATGCACGCTGTCTTGAAATGTCACATGGCGAGAATCTGCCCGACCGGAATCGGTGCGTGCGCAAATAGCTGTAGAGAGGGCAGTCGGGGTGTGTAGGGGTTGGAAGCGACAGGTGGAGCGTGGTTGACTGGGCGGGGCTACGGGGAGAATTGCCCTTCCACCTCTTCGGCTTTGTGAGCTAGCGCGACGAGTGTGCGACCTAAACCGCATCACCGAACGTGAAGGCTCGCAAGTATGTCTGGCAGCTTTGATCCCAGACACAGACCGGACGTGCACCTACTTCAGATGCTATGCGGGGCGGAAACACTATATTCCAAGATAGCCCCGAACCAAGAACCCTGAAGAGACAACACCAAAAAAAAACATAGCGTGAAACCCCAAAGCTACAAAGCACAAATCCTAAACGACGAATCTTCGGTCAGTGTCTCAACGATTGAGAAGACAGTCAACAGCAGCGGGTTTCGAGAGCCCGACGCGTGGTTGTTCAGTACCTGTCAGGAAGCTGTCGTCGAGATTCAAGGCTCAAAGCTACCCTAGACCGTAAACCCTAAACCCTGAACCCTAAACCCTAAACCCTAAACCGGATGGTCTGCGGGCACCACTCCAGGCCGAGCATTTTCCCACAACACACCAAAGACCTCAGTCGTGGAGAACGACTGACCCGAACTCTATGATCCGACACTCGCCCCTACTTGCTAAAGTCTCAGGAGATGTGACGTGAGCTGGCATGCGAAGAAACCATCAAAACCACTCCTTGTCTTCGAGTTGGTTTTAAGGCACGCCCAGTTTCGCACCCCACCATTACAAAAAGAGCTAGCAGGGACTGGAGCCGCACCGATATGGCTGGTCCCCTCTGGCGGGAGCGACGATAAATTACGGATGTGTTCATATCCAGTACCCGGGCATAAACTGATCTTAATGTGACAGATCCTGGCGGTGCTTTCCGAGCAGAGGACCGGAGCACTTTGTCCGACTTCCCAAACAACAAGGGTTGGAAGCAGCCACGGATCGCTCTGTTGAACCGTCGTTCAGCGATGCACGGGATGAGCACGATGACAACTTGGCAGAGTGAGAGAGGGAACACTTGACGATTGGTGACATTGCACGTACCCGACTTCGAAAAGGGCTTAGATTTGGGCAGCAATGATGTTCAACTTGCTGCCTAGGCCTCCAAAACTCTCGAGCGAGGATCAGATTCACGAGGTTTCCCCAATCTGTGTCAGCTCACAAAGCGCAAAACCGTGATGCAAACAAGAGATAACGCAGTGATGATGTGCAAACAGCAGCACAGCTCTGCCAGCCACCACCTGCCGGCAAGCTGCATTCGAGAACCCTGCTCTGATGCCGAGCGTTTTATTTTGGTCCCCATGTTGCTGGTTTCGGGTTTAAGGCAGAGGCTGTACTTGTAGCCGGCATTAGATAACCTGCCAGGGGACCCAGGGCTGCTCCTGTCCCGGCACGGAAGACGACTCCGAAGACATCCCTGAATATCCCTGAGCCTAACCAGGGCCATCCAGGGCCCATAGCTGTGTCTAGCCTAGCCGTTTAGTTCGAAAACCACCGTACGGCAATACATCACATCCTCCCTTCAACCATCAACAATCCACTGAACTTGATTACGAACTCGCTGCTTGACAACGTGCTGCGAATGCTCCTGGCTCTAATCCAATGGCTCTATCTTCTTTAACATACGTTAAAGGTCAGCACCCACGTCGTTTCAGTGCGTTGCACCTGGTGCTGCCCACTGCGTCAAAATGGCTGCTTTCCACACAGAGCCCTGTAGAGGACAGCGACAACGCTCGCAGCTTAGGGACGGTTCAACAATCTGAGGCATCTACATTGTTCTCGCGTCTCTGATGAAGAGACGATATTCTCCTCAAGAGAAAACATACCCGGGCAGTTCCTGCAAAGTTAAACCGATAAGCCACGCTGAGAGGCGAGCCGGTAGAAGTACTGGCCACGATGAACATGCGTGGAAGTCGGCAAACGAAACCTAAGACAGTTAGGAACCAGAGGTCGAGCTTTGCGCTCAAACATGGTTGAGTCTAAAGAAATCTCAACACTGTTACACGATCCGCCAGCCTGACGGGCATTGCGGCGCAGAGAGGTCCTACTTGCTGCTTAGCTAGACTTTTTTTCTTGTGCCCGTAGAAATGGCCAATCTTGCTGAGAACCTGAGCCCGGCGCCAGACGGGAGCGATCCAGTCAGGATTCTGAAGGTTGGCTTCGGCCTCATGGAAATAGCCTCCTCCAACTGCTCCTCGAGCAACACACACCTCCGCCTCGGCGAATAAGTGCTTCCAGGATGAGGACTTGAGGACGGCTTCTGGCTTTTCCGACACAGGATTGTGCAGCAACACGATTTGAGGTTCCGGATACTGCAGCGGGTCTAAGATCGAGTTCAGAGTGGGTCTGCCCTGGGTCGGCGGAAAACCAAATCAACATCCAGGCAAAGGGTCGTGGAAGGATTCATACGTTTGCAGCTGAGGACTGAAGACTGACAGCATGACAAGTATGAGTGAGACGCGAAGAAAAACGGAAGACACGAGCTACACAAGTACCTCCGCACACCTCCGTGTTCATGTGACACAACGAAACATCCCATAGCATCCCCTTGCTGGCCGTGAACCGCATATCCACATGACATTGCTGGACAACTGCTTGTACCCCTTGCTTTGCACGCCAAACCTGCCGATGCAAGTTGAATATGCGCTAATCCATTTTTGATAATCGCGGCTCTGTGAGGGCACCTACATGGACAGCTTTGGTCGCAGCTTTTGCAGGGCCCTTGAGCTTGCACAGCATCAGAAATCTGCTTTGGGCACGTCTGAAAAATGTGCCGTCCTCCTATATAAGCCGCAGATCAAGAGATCACAGTGGTATCACGAACTCGGCAATGAGACCTAGATGGTCGGAGACCTCCAGTCCATTCCGGTCTCGGGTGTCCGCGACCGAAGAACTGACACAGCAGTCTTTCAGCTTGCAGGTGACAAACATGTGATCTGGAGTGCATCGAAGTTTGCCGTCTGGAGCTGGCCGAAGCGTTCCTGGTCGCTCCGCATCGAACCACTGCGGCAATTCGGCAGGGAAGCCTGCAGACTGCATGGCAACCTGCAGGGCCTGGAACTCTGCCGAGCCGTCCAGCTGCTGTCCGAACTCATTGCTGCAGACGTTAAAGTCGCCTACCACCATGGCATAGGCGGTGCTGCTCGCGCTTTCTTCCGCGAGCCTTGGACAATTTCAACTTCAAACATACCCCAGCATTTTCCTGGCAGGTCCTTCATTTCGTGGCCTGATTCATCTTGGTACTCGTTTTCGCGTTTGGGGTTTTGGGACTTGTTGCTCTGAAGCTGCGGTTTCAAGACTTCGGACAGTGCCCAGAGCGCAAGGAGACAACTCTCCCTACGAGGTCCGTGAGGAGCGACACGCCAAATCTCCAAGGACTGCTGCTGCTACCAGCACCGGTTCCGTTACCACTACTACTCCCACTCCCACTCCTACTTCTGCTCCTATTCCTCCTCCTGCTCCTGCGCCTATTCCCCCTACTACTCCTGCTACTCCTGCTCCTCCTACCACTCCTACTACTCCTGGTGCTCCTGCTACTTAATCCTACTACTACTCCTGCTACTCCTGCTACTCCTGCTACTCCTGCTACTCCTAATACTCGTACTCCTACTACTCCTACCACTCCTACTACTCCTACCACTCCGACTGCGACCGCCACAGCCACAACGACGACGACGACGACGACGACGACGACGACGACGACGACGACGACGACGACGACAACAACAACAACAACAACAACAACAACAACAACAACAACAACTACTACTACTACTACTACTACTACTACTACTACTACTACTACTGCTGCTACTGGTACTGGTACTGGTACTGGTACTGGTACTGGTACTGCTACTGCTACTGCTACTGCTACTGCTACTGCTATTGCTATTGCTACTACTACTACTACTACTACTACTACTACTACTACTACTACTGCTACTACTACTACGACTACTGCTACTACTGCTGCGGATACTACTACATACTACCAACTACAACTACAACTACAACTCCTACCCCCACTACTCCCACTACTCCCATTACTCCCACTACTCCCACTCCCACTCCCACTCCCACTGCCACCACCCCACCACTACCACTACCACTACCGCTACCGCTACCACTACCACTACCAATGCCACTGCCACTACCACTACCACTACCACTACCACTACCACTACCACTACTACTACTACTACTACTACTACCACGACGACGACGACGACTACTACTACTACTCCTGCTACTACTACTACTACTACTACTACTACTACTACCACTACTACTACTACTACTACTACTACTACTACTACTACTACTACTACTACTACTACTACTACCACTACCACTGCCACCACTCACTACTCCGACTCGTACTCCGACTGCTACTGCTACTGCTACTGCTACTGCTCCTGCTCCTGCTCCTGCTCCCTCCTGCTCCTGCTCCTGCTCCTGCTATTACTACTGCTCCTGCTCCTGCTCCTGCTCCTGCTCCTGCTCCTGCGACTGCGACTGCTCCTGCTACTGCTACTGCTACTGCTACTGCTACTGCTACTGCTACTGCTGCTGCTGCTACTGCTACCGCTACCGCTACTGCTACGGCTACTGCTACTACGACCACTGCTATGATTTAGGCTGCTACGACGACTACGACTACAATGACGACAACGACAATGACGGCTGCTGCTACTTTTAATTCTGTTTCTACTTCTACTTCAACCGCAGGTGTTGCTGCTGCAAGCGACGCAGAGTCGCAGGAGGCGATTCATTGACGAAAGTCGGAGCACTAGGAAGAAGCGATCAACAGGATGACGGAGCATGCAAAATCTACGCCCGAAGTCATGTGAACACTTGTTGCAGACTTACTTCTTGTAGTTGGTAGCTGTGGTTTGCAAAGATGTTGAAAGAAATTAAGCAGAAAGCACCCTTGAACCGCTTACGCGGCTGGGCAGCACCTCTCTGGCACGCTTTGCGAGCTGTCTGCACTGGTCTTGCCGGACACACACCCAGGACGGATGGTGCGAATGCTCCAGGTGAGTGTTGAAGATGGTCAGCTCTCGAGCCTGCCATGAGGTACTATGGTGCTTCGTAAGGAATGGATCCCTATGGTAGTCCCTACAGTATATAATCCCCAACAATAGTCCCCATAACCAGACAGATGAGGCTACTATCAGGGTACTGTAACTGTACCGTACTGTGACAGTACTGCAAGGGGACTACTAATTGTTGGTACGGAGCACAATAGGCACACCAGAACAAGGAAGGGTGCGGTGCGATAAGGGGCTTTGGAGATTCAGATTTGGGCTTTGCAGGTGGCGGTGAGAGCTGAAAACTGCACATTTCCTTGGGCCAAAGGCACAAACAACAGCAACTGCTTCAACTGCTTTGCCTCGCTGCCGTCGGCTGATCCTAAAACGATCACCACTTCCAGCCAACCTTTAGCTGTGACAGAGCGACGAGATTCGAACACTTCATGCTTCTCCTTCTTGATCGGATATTTCGAGTATACGACAAGGCCAGAACTTTGTCCAAGAAGTGGCCGCGACGCTGTCGGAGAGGTTTGATGCACGAAGCCTAGCTGCAACAGCAACTGACCGGCGTCCTCTGCATCGCCCTGCAGGCATAAAGGTCCCAAGCCGAGGACGAACATCTCCTGCACGATGACGACGTCCACGCGAAGTCGCTCCAACTCTTCTCTGAAAGCCATGAGCCTGGCCTTTCTCTCGGGACCACCCGCGAAGAAGGAATTCCAAACATTCTGCGACAAGACTCGCAGAGGCCGCTTCTGACACGTTGGCGCGCTTGCCACAGGCTCACACAAGCAAGACTTTCGGCGACGAGGGTTCAACAGGCGACAGAGGCCCCAAGTCGCGACGCCAGCTGCAGAAGTATGTGCGATTCGGGAAGCCATGGCAGAAAGCTTTTTCTTGTTCATCCCTTGTTCATCCAGATCAGATGCTTGCCTTTCATCGGTTGATATCGATGGGAATTCGAGTTTAGGGTTTGCAGCTGGAACGGATATAGGAGCCGACTAGATTCGAGTAGCATGAGCACAGAAACAGTGCACCGTCCATGATACTTGTAGAGATAACACACGTCCGCGCAGATGTTGATGACTCCGAAATCTCATCACACACTTTAGCCATAGAGCGAAAAGAAAGCTGGGGTCCCCGCAACTCCTGTGGTCACCATCCATACAGGTTGCCCTCCTTCTAAAAAGGCTTCAAAGGAGTTCTGCGCCATGAAGAGATCCTCAAGCTGCACGCCGGTGACAATGAACAAAGTACTTGAGAACATGGTCGTGGCAGCTCGAAGCCTGCGCACGACCTGCAAGTGAACAGCCTTGCAACAGATTCTCGCAAGCAACCTGCGCTGTCACGAGCTAGCGCCAAGGGAACGGGCGTGCTCCGGGTCATTCTGGACGAATGGCCCCTCCCCACTTGAGACGGGCATGGGTGACTGAGAAGCACGCATTCGGTTGGAGGGCCGAGAAGTGCTTCGCCAAAGCGCCCTCGAATTGAACGTCCACCACCGTGTTCTCAGGCTGGCCTCCTGAGAACAAACCCTTGGGGACGTTACACTGGTTCTGCGCAGGCTCCTCCAAATTCGATGCGAGAGAATGCGAGAATCACAACAAGAGAATGAGCAGCAGCGACCCCATTCGATTGAGTCGAGAGGCCTGCTTCCTGAAGCAGTTCCCCGCGGAGCCGAAGGGAATAATCCTCAAGATCCAAGCGATGAAGAAATTCACTGTGTCTGAGAGCAAGTACAGTAGTATTGCACGTTGAAACAACCGCGCTTCTGCATGCAAGCCCCAAGCCCGCGCCACTATGCACACTAGGTCTTGTTCTCAGCTCGTCCGACGTCCTGAACGTGGAGGACAACAGGGGCAGCACATCCTCGTTAGGACTAGTGGACGAGCCACCCGCGCCCGCCCTAGCTGCCGAACCTTACTATCAAAGGAGCTCCGGTGCTATGTACAGGATGGCAGGATGGATTTGCCGGTCATGCCAGTTGGAAGAGAAGGCATACCGGAAAGCCAAACCACCGGGCCTCCCCTACGGCCTTGCGAGGTGAGACGCCCTTCGGCTGCCAGGCCGTCACAATCAGGCCCGAAGAGACTTCTCCTGCAAACAGCAAGGCCCCGGCCCACAGACCAATACTATTCTGGGGGCTTCTTAGTATAGTTAGTCATAATTATAGTACAATGGGCCCAAAGGTCTATTCTAGTTATTAAGGCCCTTTTTCGAACCCCCAGCGGGACCCCCCCCGGCCTGCAGGGCCTCGGCAAAGGCCTTGTTTGAAGTTGCAGACCTGCTGGTGGGGCAGACCTCCTGCAGAAAAGATTGAACACGTCACTATACGGTACTGAGATACAACGGATACCAACGTCCAGCGCATGGTTTTCAGCTGCAAACCCTTGGATGTAGGGCTGGCATGTGCCAGTGCTGTTGCCCAGTGCTTCTCAAGACAGAGGCGGATCCTGGCCTGCGTGTCCTCGAAGGCCTCAGGCAGGAAGCGACTCAAGCGAGAGGGGCCGGCAAAGATGCGACAGCCGACTTGAAGCCTCCACAGCTTCGCGATATCTCTCAAGCTTCAGCATGACAAGGCCTCACGCACCAAGGGAGAGTGTCTCGCCTACCTCATGATGGCTATTTGGAGGATCATGGGACTTAGTAAGTAAGGTTATAGGTACCTTAATTGGGATTATAAGTAGTTATAAGTATAGTTACCCTAATTATAACCCTAGTTACTACGTCCCGTGATCCTTTAAGTACACTCTCCGTGCCTCGGCCTGATAAGGCACCGAAATGACGGGGCACGATCTCCAGCGTCTCGGGTTCAGCTTGGGTGCTTCCACTGTGCATGGCTGAATAAGGTCATTATAACATATACTATCATATGACATAATACCATGTCATATAATATGGCATAGTTTGCTTTCGTATATATATATACCATAATACATGCTATAAGATAGCATAGTATATGGTACAATGAAGTATTATGTAAGGGAGGACGACTTTTCTGAGCCTTGCCTTGTCAATCTCAGCAAGAGACTCATCATAGAACCCCAGCAAATAGTTCACCTCTTCAGCAAACGACCGCTAGCAGGGATCAGCACTCATCTACAAAGAGTGAGATTACTGGGGTTCTTCTACAACGTTTTGCCAAGCGTCCGTTGCAAGACGATTCCAAGCTTCCTTTTCTGACCAAACAAGAGCACTCGCACCGTCACACTCTACACAGATTGCGCCGCAGGCTGCCACACTGCCTCTTATCCCTCCAAGGTTCTGCCCAACCAGGCTCCAGGATAGCAGCATGCAAGAAACCTAGGATAGAACAGCAGCAATCGATGGCCACGGAGCAGTCCCGCACCTCGTTGAAGCCATAAGGAGCCCAGAAGCGTTTCTTGGCTTCATTAAGGTCGCCCTCTGCGAGCAGGTCCGAACCGTCCCTCAGGAGCTGTCGCGCAGCCTGTTCGGATCTGGCAAGTGGAAGGGGGACCTAAGATAGGGGCCTCAAGAAACAGAATAGGGTTCCTTTAGAGGGGTCTTTCAGGGTTCGTATAAGGGGGATACTAGAAGGGTACCATAGGGGCCTTAAAAACTAGAATAGACCTTGGGCCCATTGTACTACGAAACCCCCAGAATAGTATTGGTAATTATTTAGGCCCCTATACTTGGAGGGTCATGGGACTTAGTAAGTAAGGTTATAGGTACCTTAATTGGGGTTATAAGTAGTTGTAAGTATAGTTACCTTAATTATAACCCTAGTTACTGCGTCCCATGATCCTTTAAGTAGCAGAGCTTTGTGAGAAGGCCTCGTCTTCGTGAAAGTACCAGGTCTGCCACCTCAGGTCTCAGAACCCTGGATCAGGTCAACATAATATATACTATGTTATAGTATAATATAGTAGAATACAGCATAATGTAGTATAATACGATGCTATTTCATATGTAATAGATTAATTCTCATAGAGCAAAACAGCAAAGAACTCCGAGCGGCAGAAGCGACTCAATCCTTGCAGCTCTTGCCGGGGAGTCTGTGGCCTGAGAGGCTCTAGGCTGCAAAGGCGGAAAGGCTCTGAAAGGAAGGCCTTTAGGGTTTAGGGAGCTTAGGGAGTTTAGGGTTTAGGGGTTTAGGGGTTTAGGGTTTAGCGGTTTAGGTTTTAGGGTTTAGATGTTAAGGGTTTAGGGTTTCCATGCCTGGTACTGACAAGAATAGTATTCAAGAAACAACAATGCAATGACAATAGGACTAGCATACCCATTATCAGTAGTCTCACAACAACCCTCACAATAGCAACAACCACAACACCTATAAGAACCACCAGTGTATGACAAAGACTTATCAGTCCACTAGCAATAATACCAAAATCAACTCTTACAACGTAGTAAGTAGTAGTAGTAGTAGTCGTAGTAGTAGTAGTACTACTACTACTACTACTACTACGACTACTACTACTACTACTACGACTACTACTACTACTACTACTACTACTACTACTACTACTACTACTACTACTACTACTACTACTACTACTACTACTACTACTCATAGTAGGCGTCAGAAACCACGCCTGGAGCTCATCGAGCAGGCGCTCGGACAGCTCGGCCTTGCTTGGACCCCAGGCTTTCCAGCAGAACAGGAACTAGACAAGATGCTCCAGGCATTAACACGAATACTAATGCTAATATTAATACTAATTTAATGCTAATACTACATACTATACTAGTAGCACTATTAATCTAATGGAGTATGTATTACTGTTGCTATTATGTCCCCCAGGCGCCCTCGCCCGCCCAACGAGTCCGTCCTGGTCTCTGGAGGACTCCAAGGATCTCACCAGCCGGGAGAGTTCCTCAATCTCAGGCTCGCGGCTAAACCCCAAACCCTGAAACCCTGAACCCTAAACCCCACTCCCTGAAACCCTGAACCCTAAACCATTCTGAACCCTAAAGCCTGAAACCCTAAACCATCCTAAGCCCTGAAACCCTGAACACTGACGGAGCACCTCCAAGGGAGCACCCGTTCGCGTCTCACGGACTGAAGTCGTCACGGTCCGATACCTGGTGTCTGCTTACTGGTGCTTGGAAGCCACCGAAGTTGTGCCGCACCCTCTACAGAAGGCTTGGTGGCGAATAATCAGCGAAAATAACCAGGTTGATGAGTTCCAGGAACATCGATCTATTCCCCTTACGCCCGTAGCCCCAAAGCTAATCACCTCATCATGTACCCACACTCATCTGAGTCCTCACCATCTCGTGTGTCCAACCGAACCCTCCGAAAGCACTGCGCAGCTGCCCTTCTATTGCAACTGCTGGTCTTATGTCAGCAATTACCAGCCTCTTGTCGAAGCGCATGCGCTTTCAGTGACACTTTTTCGCCGACAACATGCTGTCTTCTTCGCTTCTTGGCGAAGGATGTCCGATCTTCATCAGAATCGGGACTCCTGAGCGCATCGAGACAGAGCTGACAAGGCAAAGAACGTCAAACTTCAATTCCTAGGTCACCATCACCGTCACAATCCGCTGCATTAACATAATCCTCATGTTCACAGCCATCAGCAGCAAATCATCATCACCACCATCATCACTATCAATTTCAGCGTCACCATCAACACCATCATTGCGACGACCGCAAAAACGGCACAAAGAAGAAGGAACGCGAAGCAGTAGCAGTAGCAGCAGCAGCAGCAGCAGCAGCCGCAGCGGCCGCGGCAGCGGCAGCGGCAGCGGCAGCGGCAGCGGCAGCAGCAGCAGCGGCAGCGGCAGCGGCAGCAGCGGCAGCAGCGGCAGCAGCGGCAGCGGCAGCAGCGGCAGCAGCGGCAGCAGCGGCAGCAGCGGCAGCAGCGGCAGCAGCGGCAGCAGCGGCAGCAGCGGCAGCAGCGGCAGCAGCGGCAGCAGCGGCAGCAGCGGCAGCAGCGGCAGCAGCGGCAGCAGCGGCAGCAGCGGCAGCAGCAGCGGCTAGCTCCAACAACACCGTGCCACCACGACCGGCACCACCACCTCCGTGAACCTGATTCCACGACAGCGGCAAAAGCCAAATGTCAAGCTGCTGTACGGACTGTGCCCTTGAGTCTGCAATACACATGTGCCGAGCGTCATCATCTGTCCCGCCTGCACCAGGACTCTCTGGAGTCTGGGGTTCGAAGCATGCAGAGATCCGATGACATTTGCCGAACAAAAATGCTTGGAAAGTCGCTCTTCTTAAGAATCGTCTTCGGAGAGTTTGCCTCCATGTCATGTCATGGAGCTTGACTATCAAAGTGTCAACAAATTCTCGGCTGCAGGGTTCAAGAGCTCCTTGTTTGCCGCTTTGCCGGCGTCCTTCGCCAGCCCTTGCAAGTCGTCTGTGAATAATTCATACCCTCCCTTCGTTTGAAATTGCTTTCTCAGGAACTCCAACAAGAAACCAAACAGGTTCTGTTGACACATTACATGAACTGTCTGCATCCTGTTTCCTGGGGGATACCTTTACTTGGAGGATCATGGGACTTAGTAAGTAAGGTTACAAATACCTTAATTGGGGTTATAAGTAGTTATACGTACAGTTACCCTAATTATAACCCTAGCTACTAAGTCCCAAGATCCTTTAAGAAGAGTCTCCCGATTTTCCTGGCAGCGCGCCAAGGCAGTCGATGCGTGCAGCCGCAAGCTTTTGGATGGGCTGCCGAGGAGCCTCGGTGAAGCCGGCTTCGCTCTACGAATTTGCTGCGGAAGCTGCGCCAGAAGAACAACTCTTACAGTAGTAGTAGTAGTAGTAGTAGTAGTAGTAGTAGTAGTAGTAGTAGTAGTAGTAGTAGTAGTAGTAGTAGTAGTAGTTGTTGTTGTAGTTGTAGTTGTAGTTGTAGTTGTAGTTGTAGTTGTAGTAGTAGTAGTAGTAGTAGTAGTAGTAGTAGTAGTAGTAGTAGTAGTAGTAGTGGTAGTAGTAGTAGTAGTAGTAGTAGTAGTAGTAGTAGTAGTAGGGGTAGTAGTAGTAGTAGTAGTAGTAGTAGTAGTAGCAGCCGTCGTCGTCGTCGTCGTCGTTGTTGTTGTGGTGGTGCTAATAAAGCTGCTAGTGCTTTTGCTGAGTGGACGCGAACACTTCGAGGACTCGACGATCGTAGCACCGCCTCCCGCTGTTGGGCTGCCTGCAGGCGGCCAGGGCTCCCAGAGTGCAAAATCTTGCCCTACGAAGTCGCATTCGTCATGGAGACCCTTAGGGGGAGGAGGGGGGAGGGGGGAGGGTGGTAGGGGGCCTTAATACCTATAATAGACAGTGAACATGAACCTGCGTTTACTGCGAGTAGGGTTTCTGGGGGGGGTTTGGGAGTGCGCAGCTGACGGACTTCAGGGAAGCTTGACAAGGAAGAGCCATTGACGAACCTGTCTGGGCAGGTGGAGGACTCCCAGAGCTCCCATAGCCGCTCGCTGCACGGCGACCGAAACGTCCTCCAGGCCCTCCAGGACCTTCAGCTACGTGCTTGAAGTGTACTGCAGTAGAACAGGTTTAAGCAGTACAGTACGCAGACGCGAACACCGATCAGAGCTGTGAGACACTGAGTGCGGCAGACCACTACTAATGCTAACCTCATATTTAGAATCCCCCGCGTAATTGCAAAATCCGATTCCCAGAACGTAATTAGAAACCCCCCCGTATTTGCAGAATCCAAGCGGCCTAAGCGGAAAAAACTGTAAGCAGAATCTACAGGAGCTGAAAAGGCTTTGGGACTGTCGGGGATTCTCCAGGGGCTGCAAGCAGGGCTCTGACACGTCTGGCTGGCTCTCATGCTGGACCCGGACTCTTATTACAGAGGCTGAAGCTCCCATCCTTGCGGGGGGGGGGGGGGCCGCTTTCTTAATATGAAGTGAACATTATATCCAAAGTGGGCAAGGGCTCACCTAACTCTAGCCCAATATCACCCGTCAGACGGAAACCGAACAGCTTCTGTGACTTCTGTGCTCCGGACACTCTCGAAGATGCGACATTGCAGACGCGACCTGCTCAGCACAGCACGTCTGCAAGCGGGGTGTGTGCACAGGAGCGCCATACAGTGGGAACATCATGCACTCGAACTGCATTTTCTCCACTTAGAGCATCTCTGGTTTCGAAGAAGATTTTTCGGAGAACGCGAGCCTCCGTCCCCCACGACCCGTCTGCTCGCAGTTCGCAGCACTGCCCAGGCAGCCCAAAGCGCGGATCTGAGCCATGTCAGTACTCAGTACTCTGCCATCGGGATGCAGCAATACCGTGAAATACCGTGAACAACCGAACCCGATTTGATCGGAGGTTGAACGACATCACCCCGACCAGCGGCCCATGCGGCTCTTTACCGCCCCACGTTGCCGACAGGTGGCGGACTCTTCGCGGACGTTCCTCCGGCGGAGCAGCACAAGATCTGTCATTTGGATGTGCCGAGTGTTAAATGGTGCCCATGCCTCTCGTCGCACTGCGCAGTCGCTGCCAAAGCCGCAGCCAAGCACTCGCGGGCTTCCACCGGAGCCTGCCCACCAGAAGGCATGACAAGCTTGTGCTCTGGTAGCATCCCGGTACCATGTCCACAGCAAAGAGCAGCTGGCAAGTACAACCGGTTTGGCGCCTTCCCTCCTCGCTCGATGCAGCATCGCAGGCCCGCAGCTGTTGTTTCTTGAGTTGACGGGCAGGGAGATCGCAACAGAGTCAGCAAGGAATCCTCAGTCCCGGCATGGACACAGAAAGCCCTGTCTTGAACATGACCTTCGTCAAGTTCTCAACGGACTGGGAGCAGCGCTAAGCAGGCTCTGGCGAGATTGTAGTCTTCATCGTCCAGGCATGAAGCCAACTGCCCCGCGCAGCATGCACCCTGCACATTGACTCGTGACATGTTTCGTTCGAGAGATCTAAGACGCTCACTGGGTTCACACATTGGGTAGCGATTCTACTTGGAGGTTCATGGGTAGCTATAAGTGGGGTTATAAGTAGGGTAGCTATAACTACCCTTGAACCTCCAAGTAGATGAAATCTGGACAGGCGTGCCTGGAAGCCCAAGCGGCCAAGCGCCTTTGCAGCCTGCAATTCGCGAACTGCTCACCATCATGCAACATCTTATCTCTTGCCTCTTCTGCAGTACACCGATATTGACTGATGCTCACATAAGACTGGCAAGGCATGACCTCAAAGTGTCAGCGACAAAACTTCCAAATTTATCAAGCAGCCCCCTCGGCCACATCCGGGACTTCGTCCTCACGGTGCAGAGGCAGCACGGTCCGACTGCAACGAGCAGCTCTGTCACTTCAAACCATTTGCACACGGCGTCTGTTTCTTACTTGGAGGTTCATGGGTAGTTATAAGCAGGGTTATAAGTCCCCTAATATGAGTTAGAAGTATACTTACCCTACTTATAAACCCACTTATAACTACCCATGAACCTCCAAGTAGCATGCAGAGGTGGTTGGTTCAAGGCATCGTTCCAGCAACGCCTGGATCCTAGGGTTTGGTCTCGGCTTTGTTCTTGGGATGAGACATGCTTTCGTGATGCTGAGTATTGCGACACAACGGGCCATCGCATAAGAGTTTCAGGGATAGAATGATGACAATTTTCGTAGTATTCAGAAAGCACTGGAAATTGACAGAATGAAGCTCCGATTCGTACTGGCAAGTTGTTGCACTCAAAAGGGTGGTCGACAGCTTGGCAATGGGGTGGAACGCCGAGCAACGACACGATGATTATGAAGATGAGGATGAAGATGACGATGGTTTTGGTGATGATGATGACTGTTAACAGCGGGAGGAGGAGGAGGAGGAGGAGGAGGAGGAGGGTGGGGAGGAAGCCAGGCAAGATGAGGACGATGATAAAAATGATGACGATGGTGATGGTGATGATGGTGATGGTGATGATGATGATGATGATGATGCTGACATGATGATGATGATGTTGATGATGATGATGGTGATGATGATGATGATGATGATGATGAGGGTCATGATGGTGACGGGCACGGTGAGGGTGATGATGATGATAATGACGTCGATGGTGACGGTGATGGTGAGGAAGTTGCGGATGGTGCTGATAACGATTGTAGCAAGACAACCTACGTGGTTGTATCATGTAGTCCCCAGACCAGCACCTGCTTCGCATTGCTTTGCACTACATGTACTACAATGTACGACCTCACGGAGAACATCCCTCCTCCAGCAGCTTCGCCAGCCGCGCAGCAGCGGCTTGTACTGTCACGACACCAACTTCCATCTCGATCCCTTCAGAGTCAGTGTTTGCTTCTGCATTCGCATCCACCTGCATCTCGCAGGAAGGGCAGCTTCCACAGATCTGTCCGTAGGCGATCGCAGCGGAGCGCCGGACGCTCCACGCAGCAACTTGGAAAAGGTCTGCAACGGCTTCTGCTGCCCAGCGCGCTTGTGGGCCAAGGCGCGTGAGCGCTTCGAGGACATCTCGGAGCTCTGCTGCTTCAACCTTTTCTTCAGCGCCTCCTCGGAGAGTTGCGAGGAGCTGGCTCTTGAAAAGCCCTGCCGCTTCTGAGCCCAAGTTCGCCAAGGCAAGCGCCGCTACTCCACGGACCCGTGAGGATGGGTCCTCCAAGCCGGCACCGATTCGTTCCACGGCATCCGGTAGGGAAAGGCTTACTTTGCCCACTCTCTGCAGAAGGCGCATCGCCGCTCGCCGCACCTCCGGGCTTTGGTGCCGGAGCATCGTGCTGGCCCCCTGCACGCCACTTGGGCCCAGCCCTTCAAGGATGCAGACGGCGGCATGGCGCTCCAGTTTGCTGTCTGCCTGAATGCAGCGCAAGGCGAAGGGAGCTGCGCTGGGGCCCAGCTTCGCCATCCCTTGAGAGGCCGCGTCCACCACGTGAGGGTTTGGGCTTCTGAGGAGTGGAGCGACGAGCTTGGCGACCTCTGCGGCCCGAAAGCCCAGGCTACTGCCACTTTGGGCAGAAAGCTGGCAAAGAGTCAGAGCTGCCTGGCCAGAAACGCTCACGCACTCGTCCTGCAAGCACGAAACCTGAGTGAAGAACTATCCTTCCCTGGAAGGACATTCAGGAACAAAAATTCAATGCTGAAGCCAACTATACCGCACTACACCGATACGAGACTATGCTACACCACACACTATAGTAATGGAGTACAATTTTGCAAAGTATATCAAAATATTGCAAAATATGGCAGAATACAGTATCGTACAATATAGCAAAGTATACTGTAGCTTCTTTTAGCCGCCAAAGGGCCATCAGCTCGGCGCAGGGAGCCGCGGCCTCGGGCCCTGCTGTGCAAAGAGCTCGGAGAAAGTGCTCCCGCACCACAGCGCAGTCGTCCGAGAGCAGCGATTGGGCCTTGAATCAGGGTTTTAGGGTTTAGGGTTTTGCCCCTGAGAATGGTTCGGTTTTCTTTTTTGCGGTTGTTTTTGTTGTTTCGGTTTTCGGCGTTCAGGGTTTTGACCGGCCTCCGAGATCTTCTGCAGCTTTGCTTTCGAAAGCTCCGCCAGGCCACGCGCAAGACCTCTGCGAGCTCCCAAAGTTTTGAAGCTCGCAGCGGCGTCACGAAAGCCAAAGCCCTCCTTCACTTCCCCATCCAGCAACTGGGATGCAAAGGCCTGCCGTCCCTCCAGGCGAGTTCTCCAAAGCCATCTCTCCACAGCAGCATGCAGCTTTTCACATAGCAAGTAGCGGCTCAGGGCCAGCAGGCGAACTGCAACCACGGCGTCGTATCGGGAGCGACGCTCACCAGCAAGTGAAAGCCTTACATCAATGTAAGAACGGGTGCAAACACGAAAAACTTATCTGAGTGCTGTAGTCATCGACTTCATACCAAGGTGCGATCGCAGCTTCACCGGTCGCAGGTCTTGATCGACGAATACCATCGCCACCCCCAGCGGCAAACGAGAGGCTCCCACCAGCCAGAGAAGCACATCGGGTAGCAGCGATCGTGCTCCACGGCTAAGTCGGGCAGAGGTGGGTATCAGCAAGCAAACGTCTGAAACTGATGTGGCAGGGCTGGCGTCGTCATCTTCGAAACCAGGACACTCGCGGAAGAAGCCAGATGCTTGCGCCAGGTCCCGCTGTCTTAGCAGGATGCTGGAGCAGTCCGTGCGCCTATGCAGCTGTAGACACCCACGCCACGTCTTGCTCAAGACTTTTCTCGCCACTTTGCGCTTGCCTGCCAGAGAAAGACAGCCAAATGCCCAAGTGGTTATGCCAAGTGCTCCATAAAGCTGGTAAGCACCGTAGGGGCTCAGGAGAGTTGAAACAAGCTAAGTGCGCCGTTTGCCGGCTACCCGTACCAGATACGTTTTCCTAAACCCTAAACCCCTACACCCAAAATCCCTGAAGCCTAAACTCAAAACCCTGAACCCTCAACCCCTAAACCCAAAAACCCCTAAACCCTGTACCCTCGCCTGTGTACGCCTTGCCGTGCTTCTTTGGCACACGGTTCACAGATCTTCGCGCCATGGCAGAGAGATCTCGACAACATCAGTCGTTATGATAGTTATAGTATGATTGGCCCCAAAACCCTATTCTAATGACCTGTACTAGTTTGAGGGTTCCTTATTGTAGTTCTGGCATAATGGGCTCCGAAACCCTATTCTAATTATTAAGGCCCCTATAGTGTCCGTTGATGTTTTGAGCCCGAAAATTTGAACATGTTGTGTGCGCTGTCCAAACAGGGCCAAGAGTTGTCAACATCTTGCAACGACTCGAAGCAGATGCACGATGGCAGCTCAAGATGTTGACTTGAGATGATGACCATTCCCGATGCTACTGTCTTGCTCCCAGACAGCCGCTAAAAACCCTAAACCCTAAACCCCTAAACCCTAAACCCCTAAACCCCGAAACCCTAAACCCTAAAGGTGCAGGCTTGCACCCCAGGATCGCCGAGAAGGCAGGCACATGGTCAACAAGAAGACTGGTAGCTGGCAGTGAAGCCGCAAATTCCCGAAACTGAAATCGCTTCACCGACATTTAGCTGTGTTGCCAAGCAGTCCCATCTGCGTTTGAACCACGGTCTTTCGAGATGCTGATCTGAACCTGTGGCAGGCAGTGAGCCAGCACAAGTAAGAAACACACTTGAAAACTGTAATCGCAGCATCAGGCAGGCTTATGCGGATTGCTGGAAGTCGGATGTGCAACAAAGTCGGAGGCACTCGCAACTTATTGGCTCGGAAAATCTGCCGCATCTTCTCCCGTCTTCTGCACAAACGAGGCAGCGCACCTTCGTGTTCCAATCTCGGACTTGGCTAGCGCCCTGATCGCCGGAGCTTCCACCCGACAGCACCTTGGGCAGATCCCAGCCAGATAATAGCGGTATTTAGTAGCGTTTCACAAGGTTAGTAGTATCTACTAATTACTCTCATCACGATTATGATTACGATTCGTATTTGTACTAGCCTTATGATTGTTAGTCTTCCCCTTGCAACAAACTGCTCTCCAAGTGACCCCGAGCAGCACCATGGAGGTGACAACCTGTGGCATTGCGGCCCCTCCCCCGAGAGTTTCCCTCCCTGGAAACCTGGCGACAGCCGAGGAGCGATGGAGCTGACCTGAGGAGCCAGTCCTGCAATTGTAATAATAACACTAATAGTAATAGTAAAAAAGCAAATAATTATAGTCACAATGCTAATAATAACAATAATAATATAATATAATATAATATAATATAATATAAAATAATATAATATAATATAATATAATATAACACAATACAATACAATACAATACATTATAATATAATACAATATAATATAATATAATATAATACAATACAATACAAAACAATATAATATAATATAATATAATATAATATAATACAATATAATATAATATAATATAATACAATATAATATAATACAATATAATATAATATAATATAATATGATATAATATAATATAATTTATTAATAATAATAATAATAGCAACAAATAATAATAATATTAATAACAATAATAACAATAATAATAATGCTAGCAATAATATTATTAATAATAACAATAGTAATAACAATAATAGCAATAACAATGTTAGTCCTGCAAGCTTGCGGCTGACTCGGAAGAAGTCAACTTCCTTGCGTCCAGCGCACTCGTGTTCCAATACGCCTGCATCCTGTGCCACACGACTGACAACGTCCGAGGCACAGAGGGGTTGAAGTCCACGATGCTCGACAGAGACTTGCCGTCCTGCCAAGAGTATCGCGTGCACACAAACATAACTGAGAATTGGGGACTTTGCCAAAGCTGACTACTACGGTGCAGTACACCGATCGAAGTGCTTCGAAGTGTGCGGCTGAGAGGGGTCGAAAAAGCTTTACTAATTAGAATACGGTTTTGGGGCATACTATACTATAACCATAATACCGAACCCGGCAGTAGTATTGGTAATTATTTAGGTGGTCCTGCCTCCCTTGCGAAAGCCGTGACTTTGGCAGAGCCGGTGCCACGAGCACGCGAGCAGCTCCGGCCTGTCACAGTGACGGCAAGCGTGAAGCCCCACTGTTTCAGGACATGCATCTAGAATAGGTTCTTAGGGTTGTCCTTGTTATATTTATGGAAGAATCTACCCCGAAACCCTCGTCTGATTATGCGTAAGGACTAGGGGCCTCAATCATCAGAATATGATTTTGGGGCCCAGTCTACTCTAATTGCATTTCATAAGGAAGCCCCAAAATAGTATTGGCATGCGCCTACCTACGTAAGTCGGCCAGATCGAAGGGTGTCTTGTGCAGCTCTGTAGCTGGAGACTGCGGTGCCTTGGAAACTCTGGCCGAAAGCCAGGCTCCAGGGTGCTGCAAGGAGGAGGAGGCCCGCCAAGGCCGTGCAAACTGGCAGGACAGCATCAAACCCTAAACCCCAAGTCTCCACAACAAGCTTCTGGCATGTCAGAGAGCAGGCTTCTTATCAGAACATCACATGTGGAACCAAAGTCTCGTTGGTCAGGCCATCCTGCATGTAATGTCTTTCTACTCAGGTGACTCTGAGTTGCTTAGCGCAAGGAAATTTCCCACATCCCGTGCCTGCACATATCCGCGGCAGCCTGGTCACTTCGGCACTCACAGCTCGACACATGTGTGAGCCTGGTTTCGGGTTTAGGGTTTGGCTGGTCCGCGTCTCGGCCTGCTTCCCTGCATAAGACCCATGGGCACCCGGTTGAACATATGAACCCTTGAGAATCCGTGCTCGAAACGATGAAAGATGATGGTGTGAGAACCTCATCTCGCAAGGATTGGCGGGACACTGCTCATGATGTGAGTGCGCTCAACCGCTCACAAGCAGATTTGTCGTTAGAACCTGCTACATCAGGTTGGTACCCAGCTCTCAATGACGATGATCAGAGCTCCCATGACCGTGACCAAGAGGCCGGCATGGCGTAGATAACGGAGTTTTGATGAGGGTACACTGATTCAACTAATCTCGTCTCCATTGCATGGACATGGGCCTCGTATTGTGTGGGCCACGCACAGCGGTCCACAGTCCCGACGGTCAACCAGACGCACCCTTGGCCAATCGCCCCCATCTACTTTGCCTGGCCAATCGCCCCCATCTACTTTGCCTTGTCCGCGGTGGGATGCATGTTCCAGTTTCCAAGCCTGTTCGGCGAACCTTCGTCGGAAACCAACTGGAAAAGCTCCTTGAGCGGACGTCGCCGCCGAAGCATTCTCTGCCGGGGATTGTCGGGGAACTAAACTGGAGATACTGGAGAGTTAACAGACTTGAGCCTGCTTCTGCACGCGTGAGCTGGCATGGGCTCCTTAGCGCACTCCGGTGATATGCATGAGCATTCCCGAACGGCCTGGGGCGAACGAGGACCATCGCGGCGACTATCTGGGATGAGTCCCTAACGTGGAAGAGCAATGCAAGGTTTGAACAAACAGCCTATTCGGAGTGATCAAGTCTGCATGAGGCCTGCTTTTACTACGTTGCTAAATATGCGCATCTTGGTCTTGAGAGCCATGCAAGTCGACATGTCTACATGTAAGTGCGCATGCATGTTGTCGACTTCCTTGAGGATCCTGCTTCCCTCCAAGAGAGGCAGGAAGGCTCAAGCCCAACTGTTGCGCAGCACACTCAAGTCAACCGATCAGCAACGGTGACAATGTCTGGCCCTCACTAACTCAATCAACATGGCGATGGGGCAGGCAGAGAAACTGAGACCACCGCACCCACAGTATCCAACTGGCACACGGGACAATGTTTTGGAGCTATATTGCGTTTGTTTGGCGCGGCTTGAACAGGTCTAGAAGCTTCGTCAGTCGGACACAAGTTTGTAGTCGCCATGTCATAAAGTCCTGCACCTCTGTCATGTGTGCACTTCGTGTTCTCGCCCTGATGACGGACATGAGATGTTACTCTCAGTAACACTCACAGGCTCGCCACTCATCATAGCCCCCCACTGGATCATCCACATGCATGCGAAACAACTTGCACCGGGTCCGCTACGTGTTTCCTAAGGTATGGAATCTAGTCACAGGAGACAGGGCTTGCAGTCGGTGCCGTCTATTTTCCTGAAAGAGTACAGGCTCCAGATGCCACCCCACCCATCTGGAGTTCAGGAATTTTGGCATTGCTGCCAAGCTGCGTCGTCTTCCAATCCGCAGTGACACAGAACAGTAATGCGCAGCGGTTCTCCAGCCATGTGAAGCTGCTATCTACATGGCAGGCTGCTGCTCTCCCAGAGACAACCACTGGAATCACCAGGGTGGCTTATGCACTGTCTCTGTTAGGGAAGAGCTGGTATGTAGTGCGCTGGGGCTGGTGGTGTTGGTGATGCTGCTAATGGTGGTGCTGAGTGGTGCTGGTGCCGCTGGTGGTGGCGACCATGGGGCTGTGTTTTTGGGGATAGGGTGAGGAGCGGGACGGTAGTACTGTAGATAGTAGTGTTGCTCCGGATGTCTTCCTCCATGTGCATGTCGAATGGACAGAAGGACTAGGCAGAAGTCGCTCCCTGCGTTTGAGCAGATGGACACGAGCTACTTCAGACAACAACAGATCATGGCGAGAGCAGCCGAGAACTTCAGTTGAACCGTTCTTTTCACAACTTGATGGCCAAGGTCAGCATGAACCATGGAACCTGAACGGGTGAGACAGCAAGCCGAGAATGCAAGCGGCTGGGTGTTCACGCTGTCACGCAGCCCAACTGCCCCTTAAAACTTGCGAATTCGCAGATGTACAAGAGCTTTTACTTCTGCAAGAAGCTCCGTATCAAACCCCCTCTGCTCTCAACCCGGCACTCTTTGGGGATCTGCTTGCTGTGTGCGCTTCATTCAACAGTGCCTTTTGGAGGGCACGATTGCTTCGAGTCCCAGTCAGATTCCTGACGATGGGATGAGGCGACCCTTGAACCGCAGTACTGCTACTTCTACTACTATTATTATTACCACCACTACGACTAAACCTGGCCAAACCTTACGTCACGCATTTCTGCGATCACCCGTGCGGAGTCAGACCTCAGGCCTTCGATGACAGGGCCTGATCCGAGCAAGAGTGCCCCAAGGGCGGAGACTTGACATGTCAAGGTCACGAGGCTTGGGCCATCTTCTGTCTCCAGTAGGCCTGTGCAGGAGGGTCTCAGAAAGCTTAAGCTTGAAATGGGACTGAGGTTGCATAGTGGCTTAGGGTATCATGCCCCTGATGGCCTCACGGTGCTGCTCGTAGGGCCCCCACCTGGGTGGAGGTGCCCCTTCGGGGTTTCTGGTCCAAGACATTTCAGCCCTGGAGCATTTTACCCTCCTCCACCATGTGGGTAGTTGTCTATATCAAATTCCCTTTTTGGGTACCCTAAATATTAGGTGCCGTAGTATAATAGGGACCCCAAAAAAAAACCATAATTTTGACAACCACCCATGTGGAATGTTGCGCAAGTTCCGTCGATCCAGCTTCATGGCCAAGCCACGGTCTTCGCATTACGACGACATCATCAATCTTCTTCATCAATACTGCTTGGATTGGGATTGCTACTACAACGATGCCTATCAGCAGTATTTCTCCTGATCAACTCGTCCTCGTCGTCGTCTGTGATCCGTCGTCGTGGCCGCAGTCGCAGTCCGAGAATGCCCTAGTCTTGAGCCTCGTCATCGTCCTAGTCGCAACTGTAGCCGTCGAAGCAGGAGTGTCAGAAGTAGACCTAGAAGTAGGAGGAGGAGGAGGAGGAGGAGGAGGAGGGTGGTGGAGGAGGAGGAGGAACGCAGCAGCAGCAGTAGTCGTCGTCGTAGTAGGAATAGGAGCAGCGGCAGCAGCAGCAGTGTACGCTGCTGTCGTTGTTCTTGCAGTTGCAGTTGCAGGTATAGTTGCGGTTGCAGCAGCAGCGGCAGCAGCAGCAGTAGGAGGAGGAGGGGCATGAGTCAGAGGCTCCGGCATGCCATGGCCGCGACCCTGAATCAATGAGATTCAAGCGCTGCCCGTTGGCTGTATAGGGCTGTGCAAGACTCCCCCCAAACTGATCCTACAGCTGGAGAGATGCCAAGCAAAGCGGATCTGCTTACACTATTTCGGGGATTCTTATTAAACCAATTATAATTATAGTATAATATACCCCCAATTATAGCTATAGTAGAATAAACCCCCCAATTATAATGAAAGTATAACATACCCCCCCAAAACTCGCAAATCCGCGGGTGTTCGTAAGCCCGCTGCGGACGACAGAAGCGAGGATCCTCGCGGCCAGGTACGTGCAGAATTAAATGGGAGTTTTCCAAAAAATAAGGGAACCCTAAAGGGATCCTCTTAGGGATCTATAAGGTTCTATAACGCGTTTAGGGTTTAGGGTTGGGAGTTTCCGAGAATAGGGGACCCTAATGTAGCACCCTAGATGGTGGGATCCTTACTATGAGGATCCCAAAATAGGTACCCCTAAACTTCGGAAACTCCCAAATTGAAAATTGATTCCATGCACCAGCACGATACTCGATCGCAAAGGCATGGAGCAAATACCCTACATTCAAAAGGATCTGAAGTGGGTTGCACATCTGCAGCACAACATGTTGCGCCACATATGGGTGGTTGTCAAAATTATGGTCCCTTTTTAGGTAACCTGAATAACAGGTGCCGTATTATAATAGGGACCCAGAAAGGGACCAGAATTTTGACAACCCCCCATATAGCAGCCGCTTTCAGAAATTAACCACCCTCGACTGCTTCCCAGCTCTTCGGTCCTTGACGCAGCCGATGTCCACGAGGAGCTCTGGGCTTCGAGGAAAAAACTGGCAGTGCACGTGTTCTTGCATCCCTTTGAAGACTTACTTGGAGGTTCATGGGTAGTCATATTGTACCTACCTATGAACCTCAAAGTACTGTTCCCCTACCCTACTTATAATAAGTAGGGTTAGAAGCTTACTAATATGAGTTAGAAGTATAGCTACCCTACTTAGAACCCCACTTATAAGTTCCCATGAACCTCGAAGTACTTCCCCCCCCCCCTTGCCTGTGAGGCGTTCTCCGAGATGGTCCCATCCGGCACATGGTCAAACTTGAAGTCCGGAGCTTTGGCACTGAAGCTTTGCCTCATCCTTCGAGCAGCTTCGCTGTCAGACTTTTCTAGGAAGAGCTCTTTCTCGGCGATCTGCCCATCGATGGCACGAATGCGGTCGTCGTGCTCGTTGGGGAAGGTTGTAGGGTCGTAGGGAATGTCCAAAAGGAGCAGCCCGGGATATCTCTTCTTTGCTTCCCCTGCGGATGGAAGGATGGGCTGTGATTGCGATAAGGGCATCGCTTGGAGATTCGCCTTCTTTGGGCGAGACTTCTTGACTGGGAGCGGAGCCCCATAGGGACACTTGCGCTCGACTAGACCCAGCGGTGGGATCGTTAAGCTGTCGTAGTGCCGTCGTGCTTCGGCGGAGCGCATCTGTCGGAGCTCCTCTGCCACGTTGAAGCGTTCCATCCGGGACCTTGCCAGGTAGTACTCGCGAGGCAAAGCCTCCACCACCTCTCTCCTTCTCACAGCCTTGCGAGCATCCCGGACCTTCCAGGCGACAAGAAAGCAGGCACACAATATCCCTACACCCTTGTAAACCCTAAACCCCATATCCTAAACCGTCACAAGGCTTGCACAAGCAGCTGGGACTCCAAGCCTCAGCAGGCATCGCTCGGATCTCAGCACCTTTCGTGTGGCGGGCGCCAGTACAGGATGAATAGACTAATCATCACAACAGTACATGAGGATTCGGAGATAATACCATATACTGTTAGATAGTATTCTGTGATACTACATATTCTTTTGTAACATTAAATGCTGATTCTCAATAATGCTATATTAGCTTCATCATACTATATAATACTTTCTACCAATACATCGTATGAGACCCCGGGCAAGACCCCGCAGCTCAAGATCCTTTTTCCCCCCCTTCCAGGCGCGGAAGTGAGCAGTCAGGGCTTCGGCAGGTCGGCCGCTGAGCTGAAAAATCTATAGGGGTCCTTTAAAGGGTACTATAGAGTTCTATACTGGGGTCCCCTTTGAAGGGGGTTCCATAATAAGGTTCCCTTAAAAGGTTCAGGGTTCTATGGCAGGGTTCTGTATGGGATGTTATATGGGTGTAATCTGGCAGCTATAACAACTACACGCCTCGGAAGTTGGGCCAACCTCAGGTGACAGCCTGTTCAGCTCTGTACATCCAACATGCTGTCACGGACCTTGCCTACTGAGTGAATTCGGTTTTCTTGGAGGTTCATGGGTAGTTATAAGTAGGGTTATAAGTCCTTTAATATGAGTTATAAGTATAACTACCCTACTTATAACCCCACTTATAGAAACCCATGAACCTCCAAGTTGGTGTAGCAACATCGACTCCCAAAAGCTCCGACGCGTCAGCCTCTTCTGCAGATACTCCACGTGCGGGCAGATGTTGCACACGAAATGTGAAGTGTGAAACAAACTGAGCGCTCAGCTCCTTAGCAGCTCTGGGATAGGAAAAGGCAAGTGAACAAGAGAAATCCTACACCCTCCATTTACCCTCTATCAATCTCTAAATACCTCCGTTTCGGGATCATCTCACCGCACGTGTAAACTATACGACTACCACACATACACATACCCAGAGCGTGAGAGACTGTCTATTATTGGGGGGGTATCCCATCCGTCGTGCCTTTTTGGGGAACACTTGCTGTAATGCCGTCAAGTATCTGCGAAATGAGAAGGACCTCCGCTGACCCAAATGCCTGCAACGTGGCAGTATCGTGAGTCAATCGGATTCATACCCACAAGAATCCATGCGGGGGTTTCCGAAAATAGGGGACCCTAATATAGTACCCTCAATAGTAGGATACTTTTTATAAGGACCCCCTAAAAGGGTACAACTAATTTGCGGAAACTCCCATACAGCAATGGCGGGCCTTTGGCTTGGGCATACTTTGCGAGGAGGTCGGACTCATCTCCAGCACTCCATCACAGATCTCGCCTTGGGGTGGGCGCGGACAGGTCTGAAGAAGACTGAAATTTTTCGATCTTCGCACATACAGATTCGAATCATGTGAGGTTAGCTGCACTGCTCAGGAAGCTTTCAAGGGCTTCGATCCGCCGTGCGCTTGTGTCGTCCTCTCTTGTTGTGACCGGAAGATTGCGCAGAGAGCAACTGAGCACCCTTCGTTTCGAGGACTGCCGCTTTGGAGACGACCGAAGACCAGAAGAAGGGCCTAAGACAAAACTTACTGTTGGCTAGTAGGGAATGGAGGAATCGTGGTAGTAGTAGTAGTAGTAGTAGTCGTCGTCGTCGTCGTAGTCGTAGTCGTAGTCGTAGTCGTAGTCGTAGTCGTAGTCGTAGTCGTAGTCGTAGTCGTAGTCGTAGTCGTAGTCGTAGTAGTAGTCGTCGTCGTCGTAGTAGTAGTCGTAGTAGTAGTAGTAGTCGTAGTAGTAGTAGTAGTAGTAGTAGTAGTAGTAGTAGTAGTAGTAGTAGTAGTAATTGTACCTCATTTCTCCATTCCCTACTATCCAACGGTAAGAAAAGAGCGCCTCCCTCCGTTCCGAATCCAAGCATTCCCAGACCGGGCTGCAGACTTGAAGCCGAGAGAGGCCTTCTTGGATTGATCCGGACCTTATATTACATAATATTATGATATATTATATTATTATATAATATTATGATATATTATACTATTATAGATTATGATATATTATATTATTATATAATATTATGATATATTATATTATTATATATTATGATATATCATATTATATATTCCTTGGCAGGATCGGAGACCACAGGTGGAGGAGGCGGTCTCAAGTCCAAGCGAATTGGGGTCTAAACATCTGAGGTCATAGGTCGCGGAGCAGGGCCGGACTCTGTCTGAGAAGTCTCCTGCGGTGACAGCGCAGTGCTGCTCGTCCGCAGACCACTTGCAAGGACACACTGGCCACTTTTTGAATGCAGTGAGTGGAGTGATTGGTGATTCGTTACACATCTGCAGTTCAGAGTTTCGTTGCCCCAGGGTGTGCTCGAGCCTCCTGTCCGACACCAGCTTCGAAGCGACGTAGCAAGTCTCGGATGTCAGCCTCCTGATGCCCGATTTTCTCAGAAGACCACATGCATCCGCGACGGCACCGCGTTGCAAAGTCCTCGCCGCGCTCTTGGGCGCCTTTGCGTCGTCGACGGATGGCAGCCAAAGGGGTCCTCGTAAAGAAGCTGCTGCGGCTCAGAGGAAGCAAAGCTTTGCACGGGCTGGGTTCCAAGCCCTGCCAGTGCCAAACCGTCCTCACCTGCTGTGAGGTCTGAAGCTTCTGACTCCACCTGAGTCATCAGTGAAGAGGCCACTGAATCAACGGCCCATATTCGTTTACGGTTGGCATTACCTGAGGTAGCATCCTGTCGTGCAGAAAATGAAATCGACCTTCCAGGAAGCGCGGCACAGCGGCGACAGCAGTGCAGAGTTGCACGAGCTAGTGGCCTGCTGCTGGCTAACGCCGAAGATGCACAAGTAGTGGAGCCTCCTGATGAGCTGCCCCAGGCCTTCGTTCCGTGTCAAAAGGGTGTAGGGTTTAGGGTTTCAGTTTTTTTGTTTTTTAGAGGGCCATTTTGAGTCTGCATGACAGAATCTGACAGCCTCCTCAGCCCATATTGGGCAGGCATGTTAACAAACCCTTTGCTTCTCTCACATGTGTGGCGACAGATTTAGGGTTTAGGGCTTGGGATTTCGGGTTTACGGATGAGGTTTTTTCCTTTTGAGTTCTCTTTTCCACCTGTCAAGCAGGTTAGGGTTTAGGGTTTAGGGCTGTAACTTCTTCCGACTCGACCAACCAACCAACCTGAGGTCACAGCTCGCTTGCTTGGGAAGAAACCTCCCGGGCGTCTGGAGGCCTTCCAGGTCGCACACAATTGTAATACTGCTGATGGACAAAATCCTGCATGACCCTAAGGACTCTAGACTATGGGAACTATGGTATATTCCTTATTATGGGTAATGCAGGATTTTGTCCATCAACAGTAATGAGATTACTGGTAATAATAAGCATGAACAAAAGTAAATCATAACAACAACCGCAACAAGAGTGAGACTAGTAATAGAAATACTAGTTTTCCTCGTCATACTCATAATACTACTACTAAGACCAATAATAATACTACTAATAAAAATAATTACTAGTCATACTAGTAATAAAAATCAGCTCAGTCCGGTAGTTGGTTCCGAAAGCCTCCCGAGAAGATCTCAGGGTGCTTGCACGAGAAGTCCAGGAAGTCGGCCTTGGCCGGGACTTTTGGGTTTTGGGGTTTAGGGTTTAGGGCTTAGGGTTTAGGGGTTTATTAGGGTTTAGGGTTTTTGGGTTTAGGGTTTCGGGTGTAGGGTTTAGGGTTTTGGGCCTGGGGTTTAGGGTTTGAGATTTAGGGTTTGGGGGGTTTAGGGTTTCGGGTTTAGGGTTTAGGGTTTTGGGTTTTGGGCCTGGGGTTTCGGGTTTGAGATTTAGGGTTTAGGGTTTAGGGGTTTAGGGTTTAGGGTTTAGGGTTTGGGGTTTGAGGTTTAGGGTTTGGGGTTTTGGGTTTCGAGTTTAGGGTTCAGGGGACATAATTGCTCAGGGTTTGGGGTTTAGGGTATGTTATTCCTTTTGTTTCCTTAGTTGGTACAATAAATCCAATAACCCTGTTCTGAAGCCTGTTGCCGTCCTTTCTGTGAAAGCCTGTCGCCGAGGCGGCTACCCAGGCCGCTCTGCGCGCTTCACGGACTCGATCACCAGATCCTCTAACGTACTTTCGGGGCAATACTAATCAGAATAGGGTTTTGGGGGTTCCATCATTATGATTGTTACTATTGTTATTATTATTGTTATTATTATTGTTATTATTGGTATTGTTATTATTACTATGATTATGATTACTATTTTTTAATCCACCCCAACAGATCGCAGAGTCGCAGAAACATCAAAAATTTGCATCGCCGATGGCCCCCGGGGTCCTGCTCCGAGGGCTCCTCCGCCTGGCGTCGTCTCCGAGTGAGCGCTCAGTAGGTTTGCATAGGGCTACACGGGAGTTTCCGAAAATTAGGGGAACCCTAAAGGGATCCTTTAAGGGATCTATAAGGACTCTATAAAGCGTTTAGGGTTAGGGTTGGGAGTTTCCGAAAATAGGGGACCCTAATAGATAGAGCACCATAAATAGTAGGATCCCTATTATAAGGACCCCCAAAAAGTTACCTCTAAATTTTTCGGAAACTCCCATATAGAGCTACACAGGCCTTAGGCTTGGCTTCCTCTTCAGCTGCAACCTTCGAGGTCGATCTGGCCTACAGTACGGGGCTGGAGAGAGCCGGAGATTTCTGTGGGTTTTGCCAGGCTCGCAACCTCCGCTTCTCCGAAAGCTCCGTTCCCTGAGGCTGGCCCCAGTGTGCCAAGCAGAGACCTCGGGACGCGTGCTACGATTTAGGGTTTAGGGTTCAGATCGCTATCACCACCGTCATCCTCATCATCACGGTGGCCATGGCGATGATGACATTAGCTGGAAGAGAAGACTCCGAGAGAGGCCCCGGCTCTCGGAAGGCAGCGACTGCGCTGGAGATTTCACTCTTCGGAAGTTCCTGCTCCCGAGGCAGAGTGTCGCCTGTGCTCAGAAGCTAGAGCCAGCATTCCCCACCTTCTCGACTACGGAGGCAGGAGGAGTTGCGAACTCAGCTGAAGATGCCTCAGCGACTCTCTGCCAGTGCAAAAAACACGACGCATTTGGGTTACATGCAGGAAACTCGTGGCTCTGCTTTGTGGGGCGCCTTTGCGCGCAGGCGCAGCTCCTGGAGCGCACGATCGCCTGAGCTGCGAGTGCTGAAGGAGCCACACATCGTGGACACCCTGCAGCACTACGTGGGCCCCGGCCACTGTCGTCTGCTGGCGGTGCGGCCGTCTCTGCCGCAACCTCGCTGCAAGTAGCGGCAGAACCAGCAAGAACTCGGCTTCCCAGCCTGCTGAAGGAGCGCTGCCACGCCTGAAGCCATGGGTTCTCACGCGAATCATCCCAAATAGATGAAACATCCATGAGGTGAGTCGAAGAAGTGGCACAACCGAGCATATGTGCTCTACTGCATGAAGCTGAGCGGATGGCTGCAAAGCTCATCATTTCGCTGCATGTCTTCCTGAACCGCAGTCCAGAGGTTGGTCTGACCATGCGCACCACAGACACGCAGTGCAATTCGTCCACTTTACTGCTTTCACCTGCATTAACGCATCTTGCAGGAATCTATGTGTATGTATCATACGTGTATGTATATTATATTATATTATATTATATTATATTATATTATATTATGTTAGATTAGATCATATAAGATTATATTATATTATATTATATTGTATTATATTATACTATATTGTATTATATTATATTATATAATTTTATATTATATTATATTAGATTATATAAGATTATATTATATTATATAATTTTATATTATATTATATTATATTATATTATATTTTATTTTGTTATATTATATTATAATAAATCATATTATATTGAATTATATTTTACTATATTATATTATATTATATTATATTATGTTATATTATGTTATATTAAATTATGTTATATTATATTATATTATGTTATATTATGTTATATTATATTATGTTATATTATATTATATTATATTATATTATATTATATTAATATATAGATACATACATACATACATACATACATACATACATACATACATACATATGTATATATAAATATACATATACATATATATATATATATATATATATATATACGTTGAGTATGAGTATATCAGTATACCCTACCACGCGGCGCACCTCCGCATCTGCGGCCTCTGCCGCTTCTTCCTCGCTGAGCGGCTCTAGCTCAGCATCGCTCACCGCCACTTGAGCTAAGGCCTGCAACCAGGCAGCACGAATATGGGAGTTTCCGAAAATAGGGGAACCCTAAAGGGATCCTGTCAGGGATCTATAAGGGCTCTATAAAGGGTTTAGGGTTTAGGGTTGGGAGTTTCCGAAAATGGGGGACCCTAATATAGTCAGTATGGTACGCCCTGGCGGCGTGTGTTTTCGAGGTTGCAGGTTTCAGTCGTTTTCAGGATGTTGACTTTGTTCTTCTCCATTGCATGCTTCTAGGTAGGCCTTTCGTTGTGCTGGCAATGTTATTCTCTACTGTATGCCTGTAGGTATGTCTTTCGTATGAGCGTTTCTATCTTGTGAGCTACGTGTTTGCTGCAGTACGAAGTTACAATATAATACTCCATGTACGGCTGCTCAGGCCGAGCTAGAAGGGCCCCTGGTGGGGGGGGGGGGGGGGGGAAAAAAAAAAAAAAAAAAAAAAAAAAAAATAATAATAAGCATATCCTTAATTTTTTTTTTTTTTTTTTTTTTTTGGCGCCCCCCCCCCCCCCCTCCCCAAGAAACCCCTGTCATGCCCGGCAAATCCTTGTATCCGAGCTGTTGTATCCTCACATATACCCTAAATAATAGCGTTTCAGGTCGCGACCTCAACTTCAGCGTTGGCGGTGCTTGGCTTTTTTATCCGTATATGTACTGCACTTACCGTAAGCTTACACATATTTGCCGCAGAATTTGCCTATTATCCATCGAGTTCCTATCTCACGCGCGCGCCATGGTTCGTACGAAATGCTCTGGATGTCAGAAGTGGGGGCGGGATCGCTGCACCTGCCCGCCGAAGCCGAAGTCCAGTGAGTCTCCGAAGCCACAGTCACCGCATAGGCAGCCGACATCTCTCCCTAGCCGAACGCGGCCTACTTCATCAAAGGCATCCCGTCCGTCTAATAAACCGTCGACTCCACGGAAAAGTTCCACAGCTACGGAGCTCGAGTTGGAGCGCACTCGTGTAGAACGGTTGCGGCTGGAGAGTGAGAAAGCTGCAAGAAAGAGAGCACGTAAAGCCGAGAGAGAGGAAATCGCCGCGCGTGTCGCTAAGACCAAGTATTGGAGCGGGGGGCGTTGGTCGTCTAAAGGACGCAACGAATCCTGGTCGAATACTTTTTGGTCTCAGCACAGTTGGTTCTCCAAAGGAGAAGAGCCAAACTGGAAGCGCAGCCGCTGCAGCGCAGTAGCCTTTCCCGAGTCAACTTTTCCGCCTCCTGGTCTCATGTGGGATGAGGCCGAGTTGAGTGCATATAATGATGGCTGCAACTAGTTACGCTTGCGAGCAAAGGCAGAAAAATCTGTCGGTCAGTATGCACTGTGACGGCAATCTAGGCGTATGACGATGTGTGCATTACTGTTACATGTTCTAGTTTACAAAGCCGAGGAGAGACAGAAGCCAAGGACAGGGGACAGAGAGGGACAAAGGGGGACAGACGGGGAACAGAAGAGGACAAAGGGGACAAAGGGGGACAAAGGGGGACAAAGGGGGACAAAGGGGGACAGAGGGGGACAAAGGGGGACAAAGGGGACAAGGGGCGAAGGGGACAGACACGAAACAAGAGAATAGGAACTGAGGGAACAATAGAGACAAGGTACAGGGCTCACGATGAGGAAGAGGATGTACAGCAGCAATAGGAAGGCTCTAATACGGCATTGTACATATGCACGTCTTTTTCTCACAGGAAGGTAATTCTTCACGAAGGATGCCCTTCTGCATCATGCTTTTCTTGCTACTGGAATGTCATCCATCTTCTTCCTGATCATCCGTCTATTTGTCTTCGACTCAGCTCAGTCTCTTGTCGCATACCAACGACCTGGCATGTCCGTGTAGTATCGTAGCCTATGCATGGACATTCCATCCTTGTTGTCTGTTAATGCCTCAGCATTTCTCGAGCTTTCAAGCTACAACTTCATTCGCGCGTCCCTTGTCGTCAGTGCTGACATGTCCAATTCTTTGGAGAGTCAGTTGGAACATCTCATGCAGGAGGAGTATCCTCACATGGCGGGGTCTTCTCCTTCACCTCGTCCAGCGAAACGTCTCAGAGGTGCAAATCTGTTGGGGTCTCAGACGCAGATACCCCATGCAATGTTATGCAGGTCCGAGCATATATCTGTGTACTTCTTACTTTGTGTCATGATGAGGTTTCGCGCCTTCTCTGATTTGGAGATCGACCCTCCTGCCCCACATATCTTGGCGCCGGCACCCGTCAACCCGAACGCGATCACAATGCCAGCCATGTACGAGCACTACATGCAGTGGGGTCGTAACTCCTTTCCGGACTTCGCACCGGAGACCTGCAAACTCGTGTCCATTGCCAACTACATCTGTGACATGGATGCCGCAAACTATTGCATGTCTAACAAACAGAAGCTTATGTTGGCTATGTTGATTGATGGCCATAACTGGAGGGCTCATTGTCGACAAGCTTTTCGGTACGAGGACGGTGCTTGGGTTCGCTGTGAGAACTTGTCCATCGATGCATGGGATTTGCTGATGGCCTTGGAGGGCTTGTTTGTTCAAGTCTCTCTGGACTTGGCGGCGGCAGAGCGAGAGTCCCAATGGAGTTGGGAAGCCGCCGGCGCCGAAGTGCTCAATGTGATTCGACATCTTCTTCAACAGTCCGTGGATGTGATTAAAGAGCTATGTGGCGTCGCCAAGGCTAACAGTGATCATCTTCGCAAAGCTACAGGAAACAAGGCGTGGCATGCCAAATGGTCTCGCCGTGTCGCCGATATGCTCGCTCAATATCGGAAGACCTGGGAAAGCGAAATCTCCTCAAAGCCTCTAACAAAGTTGTTTCTCTTGGAGTGGGATACACCTATGCCTAGATCGACAGGCGTCTGTTTCACGGACGTGTACCTCGACGAGAATTGGGATGTGGCTCCGAAAGCTCGTGATCGGAATTGCTACTTGAAACTGAACTACCGCTACCTGTATGAACATGTGATCGCACAGAACCCCAACATTGATGTCAACAACTTCCGTATCAGGCTTCGTCTCTTCCTCGAGTCTCTGTATTACAAGAACGAACATGGATTCCAAATCAAGTTGTGCTTCCTCCACGCAGCCTTCAAGCGAGTATGCACTTCCAAAATGATCTTCCAGATCGGCAAAGGTGGCGATGGTAAAGGAATGGAGGCAATATTGGATCGCACCTTGTTCGGGGACCTTGCTTCCTCCACATTGGATTGTGGGGTCTTCTTGGACCGGTCGGAATTCCGCAAATCTGCGGAGTTGGCATGGAACATGGCCAATGTTCGCATCCAAGAGATGGATCATAAGTCTTCCTTCCATGCCGACCTATGGAAGCGATTCGTAGTTGACGAAGACATCGACTGTCGGGTCAACTACGGCTTCACCACTAAGCGCAAATTTGGTGAGAGCTTGAAGGTGCAGGAGTTAAATTATGACAACATACCCACAATTGAGGAAGCTCGCGATCGCAACAAATGCTGCCAGCAGCTGGAGAGACGTATCGTGTGTCTTCGCATGGGGAAGGGGAAACTCGTCAGTGATGTCAATGAGGTGGACACAGACAACGGCGTCTTCCTGTTGATTCCACAGGACGAACTATCTGCTTTCCTATCACATGAGATAACGGCCGCCCTGTTCCTACGGGAATACTGCATTCCGTTCTTCCAGGAAACGTCGTTAGCAGAGTCTTTGAGAATGATCAACGACCTCGCCGGTGTTCATGCCGATCTTGTTCGTGATACCAAGTGGCTAGCTTCACGCCTTGCGGGCGGCAATGCTCCGCCTCCTGGAGACGAGACGGATGATGTGAATGAGTTCAATAGACTAGTCATTGCTGCTCATTCGCAGACGCCCTGGAAAAGAGTGTTGAAGGAGTACCTCATCCACAAGATTGAGGCTTTGCCAGGAGCCATATACTCGTCGAAAGGAAAGCGGACTAAACTTTCTTATCTTATCGAGGCCGTGGACAACGCTGACGTGATCCTCTTGAAGCAAGTGGATCATGGTTGTTTCCACAAGCTCCTTCTGGATTGGACAAAACTACAGGTGGCCATGGACAATCACGGCGGCATCGACAAGTACGGGTCCTGGACGGAATGGGGCGATCCCTTTGACTTGCTGCACACGCAGGAGAAGTGGACAGGGGCAGCCTTCCACCATGACGCACAAATTATCCGACAAAACAAAACTATCGTCGAAGATCTCAGTGCGCTCGGGCGTAATAGTGAACTCCGCTTGCAGGAGAAAGTGAATTTGACTGCGCTCATCGCCTACGCGCAAGCTGGCAATGATCGTCGTCCAGATCTCCTGGAAGCTTACATTGCTCGGCATCGTCGAGACGGATTGGTTAATGGAGACTTCTCCAGCATTGACATCGCCTACTACAGACGACCTCATTATGGACGCTTGTTGTCGCGAGGACCTTCTGGTCAAAAGCTCACGCGTGAAGCAAGGTTCATTGCCTTCGGCTCTCACTGCGCCGAAGTCGACGCTCCTTCGTGCCATCCTCGTCTATTAGTTTCGAAGCTGCGCGAATCTGCACTTTGGGATGAGGACAAGTTCCCCATGCTGAACAAGGTCGTGCAATTCTACAAACAGTGGAGAGAATCTCTGGCACAGTATTCGGAGTGTACCGTTGAGGAAGCGAAGGTAGAGCTTATTCGCATTTTCTACGGTGGCCGGCCTTCCGTTGAAATCCCATATTTGCTCAAGCTTTGTGACGAGGTACAGCGTGCCGCTATGCTGTTACTGAAGATGCCGACTGCCAGAGTATTCGCTGATCTTTATGAAGATCGTCCTAATCCAGAGTTCAGTCGGCTCTCAGCTCCCTGTCTTTTGAGGAGGCGAAGCTCATGCACATCATGTCAGAGCACATGGGAGACTCTGTGCAAATGCTGCTCTTCGATGGGTGCTATGTTGAATGCGACAGTCTTGCTGCAGAGTTGGATGTCGTCGAAGCGTGTCGGGCATGTGAAGCGAGTGTGATTCCCATGGCCATCAAGTCGTGGCCTTCCGGCACGGAGCTGTCAAGCATAGCAAGGCTGTTGATTCGCAAGGATCTTGGACTTTGGAGTATCTGCCGGGCTAGCTTGCAAGGGCCAACCTCGTCTTGCTTGCACTACGTGATTGCTGTGCTCCAGCCTGACTGCGACACTGACCTCTTGGAGGTTACGGAAGATGAAGGTGATATCTCCGCTAGGGAATTCAACGAGCACATGAGGTACAGTTCGCAGCGCGCTCCGCAAGACGCATACCGCATGATCTACATGGAGGAAGTGGATCTGAGCGAGGTGAATACCCTCAACGGTAACCTCATTGTCCATCAAGCAGCTCCAGGTGGTGGACATTGGAGTGGCATCCGATTCCTGGGCGACTCGACAGTATGTGTCGTGGATTCTGAGTCTAGCGGGCGTCATTTGCACACCACCTTCCAGATCCTGTCTCAGATTGTGTCCTCCATGGAGAATCTGTCTTGGTTTCGTCTTCAGACGCTTACCCACGATGTTGCTCTGGATCATCACGCAGCCTATGACCTTCGTGGATCAGGACCTTGCAAACGACCTGCGTCGCAAGCCTCAATCACAATGAAAGTGGATGTACACTGTCCAGATAGACTGGTGCTATCCTCACCCCTGCAGACGTGCTTGGAGTGTGGTGCCTCTATTCGGAAAGAGCGTGTGATCGAAGCACGCTTATATGCACTCGACGGGGTACATCATGTGGAACATTTGACAAAGAAATGCTCCAATCGCAATTGTGCAACATTGCACCACTACAACTACCGTTGGGTGGACGGCAACAAGATCAACAGCTCTCATGCAAGTGATCTGGAATTTGTTTTCGTGAATCCCAAGACGGTCTTCACTCGATCTTTCCTGGATTATCATGGCATGCTGCAGTTTCGTGGGCATATCAGTGTCCATGCTATCAACTTTGCGCAAAAGGAAGTCATGTGGAAAGACGAAAATGAGCATGCTCGATGGCGGCTAGAATACTCTACCGCACAGTTGTATCTCAATGTCCTACAGGTCGGCGAGCTCATGTGGTGCGACTTGTCGGACCAGGACACCGACAAGAAACTCCTGTCGATCTGTTTGGAGAAGCCGCTTGCTGACAACTTCGTGCAGGAATATCACAAGTGGTTCCAATCCAATGAGATTACTGTTAAGGAGAGTAAGTCTATGTACGAGCTCGTGATCGATGGCCATGAAAAGGTTTCATCCAGGTGTTCTACTATTACTCCTGCCCATGGCGGACGGCCACGGAAGGACGGCACAGTCAAAAAGCGCACAAATGGGTGGTTTATGGCTATTCATCCAGAGTCCGGCCTCATCGTTGGTGTGCAGGAGATGATCCACCCTGAGAACAATGACCTGGCAGTTAGGATGCTTGAAGATGCGGCTGAAATTCTTCCTGTCTTGGATTGTATCATCTATGACCGCATGTGCTGCGCTTTGCAAGCAGTGCGAAGGTCGGACATGCTCCGGGACATTAAGTATTTCTGCGTCGATAAGTTCCACGCACATGGTCATGGTACAACTTGTCCGTGCTCGCCCTTGGTGCACAAAAAGTTGGACAAGAGATTGAGAGAGGTGAATACCTCTGTGGCTGAGCAAACCTTCGCTTGGTTTCGCAATTATGCCAGAACATTCAATACCATGTCTCCGCAGACGCATTTCTTCTATGTTCTCTTCTACGTGCAGAAGCATAACGAGTTGATCCGCAAGAACAGTGTGAGTCACCTCAGCCCATTCAGTTCAGGCCGTAAGCGCCGCCGTTCTCAGCCGTACAGTTGCAGCAAATCATTCGCCTCGAAAGTTTTCCGTCGTCCAACTGCAAAGGTTTGCTTGCGGAGGCCAGCAGCCTGCATGGCGAAGCGTCCAGCGTCCTCGAAGTAGGAAGCTCTATCCGACAACATGCCAGTCTGCTTCATCGAAGAAAGAAGCCTGACATACGTGTACAAATTTTGACTTCTAGTCGACTGTCTCTTGCTGCGACAAGTCCGAGGGGTGACCAAAGAAGAAGAAGAGTGAGCGAAGCAGCTGATAACTCTGTGCAAACTGAGAATTGCTGTCTCCGCGCCCTTGGTGGGCTATGAGAATAACAGGATTAAAGTAGTTACTAAGTAGTTATCTCCGCCAAGGTCGGATCCTCAGCGTGCTGCTTGTGCGGGCGTCAGTTCAGCTGTTGAGAATAATACTGCGTTACGACGTCATGCAAATGTTTGCTAGTGTATTCTGGGGAGTATGATGAAGCCATTTCTATAGTAAAAAACTCGAGGAAAAACACTGAATTCCTCGAAAATACGCGCCGCCACGGCGTACCAGTCTCAATATAGTACGGCCCTTATTATAAGGACCCCAAAATAAGGTACCCTTAGTTTTCGGAAACTCCCATACAGTTAGAATAGGGTCCCTCTTAAGGGGCACCATAATGGTTCCGTTAAGGGTTCTATAAGGGTTCCTTTTAAGGGGTCTGGTGCTATAGTCTAGGGGCCTTAACAATTATTGGGGCCCCTTCAACATGACTATAATGAGGAATCCCCACGATAGTATTGGTAATTATTGAGGCCCCTATGTTAGCACCACCCTTGCTCGATGGGTGCTAAGCACGCACATGCACGCAAGCGCACTCGTCCGCATGAGCCAGACTTTTCATCGGGGAAGCTCTCTGTCTTCACAGCCTAGGGCCTAGAACCCACGGGTAACAGTTGCGTGTTCCTCTTCTGGCCACAGCTCGCTGCCGATCCCAGCATCCGCATGAGCAAAGCTCGGCGCTGGTCAGGTCCTTGCAAGCCATTCTTCTGCGACGAAGTCCTTGTCGTGGTGAGCCGTGGATCAGCTCAGTTCATCGAAGCAGGGCAGGGATGATCAAGCAGGAATGATGAAGGAGCCAAACCACAGACACCGTGACGTCGTAGTTTTGCAAGAGATAGGAATCAAGCCGCACTTAGCTCTTCGACAAGTAGAAGTCGCTTCCAAGAGCGACCCAGCCCTGACCGAGAGTTCTGCGTGCACGGTTGGAGGTTCGCCACTCCTGCACTTGGTCTACAAGCAAGCAGGTCATTGAATGGGTCTCTGACAGATCTTTGTGTCTTTGCATCACTGCACCTCTTCGAAGAGGTCGCGCTCTTGTGCTCCGGCATCGCTCATCAGCTGCAGTACCTTTACATGCTTTCGGGCAGAGCCGGATGCCAGACACATGCTTTGCACTCGGTTCTGGCACTGGCTTAGCAGCGGCTTCTGTGTCCCAGGGCATCATGCAGAGCATGGCTTTAAAACAATCCCCTCCCTCACGACCAACGGGCACCTGCGCATGTCCCTGACCTTTCGCGAGCACCCATGCGTCCTGGAACACGTGCGAAGTTTTTGGGGTTCTCACAAAGACCCGTCGGTCCTCGCCAAACCGATTGCAGCGTGCTGGTTCGGCGGCCGCGGCGAGCAGCAGCCCCACTACCTCCGCGTGTTCACGCATACACGGCTCGCCTGCATCTCCTGGTATGTCGTCGCAGCACGGTTGGCGGCGAACCTCGTTGTGCCCCCAGCGCGCAGCTGACATCAAAGGGGAATACCTGCCAGCACCTGGACAGTAGTGACAAGCATGCTGTTTTCCATCGCAGTACTCCAGGATCTCCCACAATCCCTGGTCTTCGCAGTTGTCGCATCGCGCCATGTTCTAGTATCGCGTGTTTTTGCCACTTGGTGAGTTCAGTTGGCCGGACAGTAGTGACGCTGACCTCGCTTCTCTTGCCAACAACTTCCTGCAGCCGTGGCACTGGCGACCCCTTCCGGGTCTGCAGCAGCTCGCAAGAGAAGCTTTGCACAATCAGCCCGGCCGTTCCAGGCAGCGCGGAAGAGCGGGTACCAGCCGTTGCTCTCAACCTCTCAATCTCAGCAGTCTCATGCGGTGAAAAGCGACCTGGTATAGTTTCCAGCTTGTACGCAACAGCTGGACTTCAACTCTTATCGAACCACTAACAGCTACCAGGCCTTGTCAAGTGCCCAGCTGCGAGCATCACAGAGCGGGCTGAGCAGCAACTGCAGTACCTTGAGGTTGCTGAAAGAAGATTGGAAACAGGGCGAAGAGCACGAACTTGCCACAGGAAGAACTACCTAAAACTCCCTAAACGGGATCCTAGACCCAAAACCCCCAAAACCCCTAAACAGGATCCTAAACCCTAAACCCCCAGAACCCTTGAACCTCCAAAATGGCGCTGGCCTTGGCAAGGCCGTAGTCGGCAGCCCAAGTCACCGCAGTTTGGCCCAGATCATTGGCTGCCAGGCTTTCTGGAAAGCCGAGGAGCAATTTCTCCCCTGCAGCTTAGGGTTTATACGGCTTATAGGGCTTGTAGGGCTTATAGGGTTTATAGGGTTTTAGAGGTTCAGGGGTTTAGGGGCTTATGCAAGCAGTCACTGCGGACGAGTCGGTGTGGGGGTTTAAGGTTTAGGGGTTAGGGGTTTAGGGGTTTAGAGGTTTAGGGCTTAGGGGGTTGAGGGCTTCGGAACCCTAAACCCTAAACCCTATGAGCCTTTGAAAGAGCCAAGCAGCCGACAAGCCGAGCCAAGTCGGCCTCTTCCAGGCGCCCAAGGCTCTGGCGAATCACCTCAAAGCATCTCAAATACGTCACAAAAGACGATATTATATTTTGTATATTGCATAATATACATATATATATATAGATATATATATATATATAGATATACATATACATATACATATAGGTTGGTTATTACGATTATTGTTGTATTATCAGATTATATTGTGATATGTGCATATATACACATGTATGTATGTATGTATGTATGTATGTATGTATGTATGTACTTATTACAAATATGTTGTGAATATTTTCCTATGTTATATACCGTATATAGAACAGAAATTAAAGTATGCGTGAAACCTTATGCACGATGTATGCGATGTTACATGTTATAGATGATACATTGTATACTATATATTAGATACTGCAGGTATTATATATTCTATGTTGCATATTATCTACTGTATATTTGCGATTGCATATTAGATTTTCTAATGTATTGTATAACATATACTACATATTACATGTGATATATGTTCTGCTGCATATTATATATTGCATAGAACATCCATTATGTACCATATATATTATGAACTATACATTATATAGTCTATACACAATATATTGCATATTATGCATGGTATATTGCGAGCTTCAAAAGGCAGCCTCTTGGGCTGGCTCTTGCAGCCGCTTCCCTTGCTTTTGCAACTTGGCCTCGGCGAGTTCTGGGCCGGAAGCCGTGTCCACCTGGAGCTCTTGCCAGCTGGCGGCTAAGAGTGCAGTAGTTTAGGGTTTAGGGCGCAGGGTTGAAGCATTTTGGGGGTTGTAGGGTTTATAGGGTTTAGGGGTTTAGGGGGTTTAGCGGTTTAGGGGCTTAGCAGTTTAGGGTTCAGGGGTTTAGGGTTTAGCGTTCTCCAAGCTTGCACAAGCATGGATTTCAGACTCCGCACCTGCCACAAGCAGCGAAGCCTGGGCAGCGTGGCCACCAAAGTGGCCGCAGCCTTTGGGTTGTAGTGTTGGTGCCCTTAAAAATATTTATGAATAGGCAGTTGTATAGGAACCATAAGGGAATTTTTAGAGTTGCCCAAAATGCCACCTCGTTGAGACTTCAGCTTGGATCAGGGCTGTTTTGGGGATTCCTTATCATAGCTACAGTATGATGGACCCCCATATCCTTTTCCAGTAGACCCCTATGTTAGGATCAGGGCTGCTTGGAGGTTCATGGGTAGTTATAAGTAGGGTTATAAGTCCACTAATATGCCTATAAGTATAGCTACCCTACTGATAACCCCACTTATAACTAAACATGAACCTCCAAGTGGTAATGCATGAGCAGTCAGGATCCAAGCAGGCAAGGCACGATGGATGCAGTTGCCCGCAGCCGCCACGTCTCGATTGGTCCCAAGAGCCGTGCGAAGGCGGGAAGCAGGCTCGCATCGTGGCAAAACACGAGGTCCACACTCCCCAGCGCCATGCAGTCGGGAAGAGCTAGACACTAATTGCAAAAGGCTCACAAAGTATCGCACTGTTGCTATCACTTAGGTGAATGCGTGTGAAGCTGCAGCACGCAGTGATTCTCTGTGCATGCTCCCTCCAACACAGCTGCAGACTTCTCATGTATCTCACTTTCGGCAGGGTCTTGGAATGATGCCTGCAGCCTCCATCCACCCACAGGCCTTTCTGGGAATCGTGTCCAGGACTTCGAGGTGAGGCAGCGCCTCTGATAACCACACTCTTAGGACTGGGATTCTTCTGGGCTCTTGGAGGATGAGGATTAGTCCAAGACTTCCGGAAAGCACCTCCAGGATTCGTTCCCTCGTCACAGCCTCCTGCTTCCGCACTGGGTTCAGACCTCGTCGCTTTCCAGATGACTTCCTTGCAGGGCCTCGCATCCAACTGAGATCACGGCTGATGTCCAGCTCCCGAAGCGTGGAAACCACCTGGCCAAAGCCGACGTGCAGAAGGAAAGAAGCAACACCGTGTCTTGACAGAGACAGTGGAGCACAGGGGTGGTGGAGCGCTTCTTCGAAGGTTTTCCGATGTGTGAAAGGCACCATTCAGCCCCGCATGCTCGATGTCCTTCGATGATCGTCACTCGCTGTCCGCACGCTTGCTCCAATTCATATCCTATGCGCAGTGACCCCACTGACACAACCCGCACACTGACCCAGGTCTTCCATTTTAAAGCTCTGAAGCGCTTCACAGGGATTCACAGGACCAGCGGTACCTCTAAGGACCGGATCTCCTCGAAGTCATCCACCAAGTTGCCCTCCATATCCAAGATTTGCAGCGCCTGAGCTCATGAGAGCGACAAGAAATCCCCCCCCCTCTCTGTCCCTGGCACCCCAGGCGGGGTGCGGGGGGGGTCCGCGGGGGGGCCTCATGGGAAAGCAGTGGACTCAAGTCACTCACGTCGTTGAAGGACACGTAGAGCTCCTCTTCGCAGGCTGCTCGCATCTAAGTCAAGGCGTGCGAGACCCATTGTGCGCCTCCAGAACGGGGAGTACGGTGATGCCTCCAAGGTCCTGGCACGAACAGAAGGATGCCGTGACTGGGACACTACATTTCACAATGAATCTAGCGATACAAGCGATCGGGAGGTAGGGCTATGCATCAACTTTGCCCGTTCCCACTACGGGCCACTTTACATTGCCAGGCACCGGAAAGAGAGAAAACCGACAGCACCCTACTCAACTCTGAAATGCAAGCTTTGACCTGCAAGGAACAGCGGCATAGCCATAGAACCTGCTTCCAGGGAAGAACACACTCTGGAAGTGCAGACCCACACTTTGCCTTCAAATTGAGGAGGCTTGTTCCCAAATCTCGTATGGTGCCTCAGCTCCGCTCGACCGAACCAGACTTTGCGTTTGACATGCAGCCTGCCTTTCAGGTACGACCTGCGAGCGAAACCGCTGAGCTCAGATCAAATGTGCGACCGACTGAGGCGCAACCTTCAGTGTCGGACACTCACTAGATTGTAAGACCAGAAAAACGTCCGGGCTCTGCACTGTTGCAGTCTCGGCAGCAGCTCGCCGAGACACTCCACCTAAGCGTAGTTGCGTACTTCTGAGCCGAAACTGCGATCACCCCACCGGAGATGGAAGAATGGGGGACTCATGCCCCCAGTTTAGGCATGCCGCGCGCTCGCCCACGCCGACAGCATCCACCTAGCCAGGCTTTAGAGAAGTCTCCAGACTGCACAGTACAGTCTTCCCTCTACTCGGGGAAAAACGCGTGGGCCTGGAGATCGAGGAAAGCAACCTCGTTCAGGTCTTGTACGCCGGTGTATTCTTGCAGGAACTCCTGTCAAATCTTCTCCAGAGCTATCACAGGCCTGTCCCGGTCACATGAGCTGGCCTCCGACAGTCCGTTTTCGATCTCTTCGAAAAGTGTCGTGCCTGGGTCTCTGGATCACCGGTTCAAGCCCAACATGTCCGAGTCAGGCATCTCAAAATATGCTTAAGCCACGACTGAGCAGGACATCCTGCCGCAGCGGCAGTACCGGCAAGTTCGGCGGCCGCGCTGACATCCCCAACCTTCAGGACATGTCCAAGGCTTCTGGGAGGAAGGCTTTTGTTTTTTGAACGCCTTCTTCCGTCCGCTAGTGCAGCTGCATCTAACTTCTGCGATCTGGGAGGAAGGTTTAGGGTTTAGGGTTTAGGTGTCTAACACCAAGGGTGAGCCTCGGGGACTGTGCCAGGCTCAACCAGTCGGCAGCGTTTTCGCCTCAGCCGAGACGCGATGGAAAACCAGTCACGAGTGTTCGTTCTTCTGGCGTCTAGCATCAGCTTAGACTGGGGCCACCGTGCTCTGAGAAAGAAGAGGCCCAGAGCCAAGACAGCGATTGGAACAGGAATCAATGCTTGTGCAAGCTGGGCAGAGCTAATAATATATAGGGGCCTTAACAATTACCTGTACTATGTTGGGGGCATTCCTGATTATAAGAGTATAGTATAATGGGCCTCATATACAGGCCCTACCCCTTTTCATTCCACTTCTAACATCGAACAAACGCATCAAACAAAGCCCGCCTCCAACAGCTGTAGCCGCGGTGCACGGTGCCGTCTCGACTTTCCACTCAGTCAACGCAGCCCCGGGCCTGTTCAAGTTCTCCCATGGCAGCTGCGAGCCGACATCACTCACAATGCAAGCTGCTTCATGCACGACATGCACGGGGTTTAGGGTTAAGGGTTTAGGGTTTAGGATTGCTCCACAAAATCCTGACTCTGCGACCTCAATGCAGAAAACGACCTGATTTTTCTCTCTCCCAGTCGACTGCACTCGCTATCGCTGACGAGCCAGCAAGCATGCCGCAGGACCTCCTGCGGATCTCCCTCGTTGAGTCCCAGAAAACATTAGTACTACCTATATTGTTACTGTTACTATTAACATTCTTCTGCTTACTAGTGTTACCGTTACTTCTCCCTTCTGGTCAAGCCCGATGACTGTCCTATGCTGCGATGGCGATCAGCCTGCAGTCATGTTGACGTGCGCTAGGCCATGTGACACGCCGCGGAGAGTGCAAAGAGCTCTTGGAGTACGTCGTAGGGGTTCGGAGTCCCAAGCAAAATGCCCCCATGTCCGCAGGACATGCTCGCAGAATCTCATGAAGGCTTTGAAAAACCACAGAGAAGGCTTTCACACAAGTTTGACAAGCCTCCGTGACGTTGTGCCGACCCCTGCAAGCCTTCCAGGTGAAATTCTTGGAAATGTTCAGACGGAGCGCTCTTCAGACGGAGTGCTCTTCGGATGCCTGCGCATCGTAGATGCCACGCATCATGGGCACCCAGCCCGAAGGGCACGCTGAAACAGGATGCCACGTTTTCGTGTGCAGGAGCCTCTGTTCTGAAGATGCTATCCTCAACACCGTACACCACATGAGCGGTGAGGCAAGCATGCAGGATTCCAGCAACTTCGGGTGATGAAGTCGCCCATTTCGCCCGCCCTGCCAAGGTCAAGAAAAAGCGATGCATTCCCACGGTGACCCGGACTCTAAACCGGGCATTTCGCTTCTTTCGAATTGCGAGTGGTGTGGTGCAAGAATGAAAAGGGTTCTGTGTAGCGTGGTGCGCCTGGAGTTCAACAGCTGTACTGAGGGAGTACTTGGGATTTTCTGAGTGAGCATGAGGCGAGAGAAGACAAGCACGAAGCTCCAAAGATCTCAAGCTCCAAGCTGTAAAACCCTAAACCCTAAACCCCTGAACCCTAAACCTCAAACCCTGAACCCTAAACCCCTAAACCCCATGTAACTTTGCTTGCTCTGAGCTGCCCCATGTCGTTGGTCGAGGCGAGCCGCCGCAAGATGCGCCGACGCCAATGCTCTTTAAACGTCTTTAAGTCTTTGAGTAGCGGGCTTCTGCAGTTTACGGTGCCGCCTGATCAGTCTTGGCTCTGCTAAATTGTGAATGGCTGGTTTTATGTCGCCAGGAAGCTTCTTGAAGCTTAGTGCTTGAGCCACAAACTTTCTAGGGGCCTCCCTTCATCTTCCCAAATCCGGGGAGAAAACTGCTTTCCAGGCTTAGAAACTCAGTTTGTCGGGTTCGGGCTTCGGGTCGAGACTTGACCTCTCGTCTCGGACCTCCGCATTGATGCATGGGTCTCTGTGCGTAGCAGCCAGACGGCTTCGGACGGCCTTGGGGCTTGCTTGGGAAGCCTAGATAGAGGTAGCAAGGGTGCGACGCCAACTCAGCCGTCCTTGGAGTCAGCGGCAGCCGTCACAGTAGCAGCAGCAGCAGCAGCAGCAGCAGCAGCAGTATCGCATTGGGAATGGTATCAGCAGGATCAACTCAATGCACATGCAGGACAGTCGCAAGATCAACATTTGCAAAACAGGCAGGGGTTGCCGATCTAACACCCAAACCCCTAAACCCTAAACTTTAACCCTCAACCCTAAGATCTATCGCCCACAGATGCTCGACCTCTCCAATCGATCCGCAACCCCGACTACCTTCGTACACTCTGGACCTTCTACAGGGGAAGCCGTGGTTGCGGATATTGCGGCTGGTATAAGCACGGAGAGATTATGAAAGAGGACAGCTTTGATTTTTTATTCATACTAGAAGCTGCACTCTGAAACTTTCTGAACCTTTGATGCCACAACAGAAGTCTGCTACGAAGTCATAAACCGTGGGGAACGGCACACCTCTGTCCAATCGACAGAAGGCCGGTGGAGCTGCACATGCCGAGAAACAGCTTACCAACTTCGGTTGGGCAAGAAGAACGGTCTAAGTAGAACTGCAGTTCTTGAAAACAAAATGTGAAGTAACCGCAAAATCGTATGTCTTGCTTAGGCTACTGTTCTGCAACCAGAGCTCCGGATTGTACCACTTACAACCAACGGACATGGCAACATCGCCAGGCAACAGACTGATTGGGGGTTCGGGTTGAGGTACCTAAACCCGAAATCCACAACCCCTGCGTCGCTGTCCTGTCATCCTCTGCTCCTTTGGGTTCGGAAGGCGATGCCGCACAGGCATTGATTCCGAATCTGTCTGCAAAAACTCGGCGGCTCAGAGCATCTCTGGCAAGGTCTTCTGCGCTGGCTTTTGTCCCGGCTCTCCTCGGCTCCACACCGGGCTTCGGATGGCGATCCATCTTCAGTGCAAGCTGGCAGTGCTTGCAGGTTTCCTGCGTCCAGATGCACGGTAACTTCGCCCAGGCTCATGCGTGCTTGGACTCCATTCCGAAGCATCGTGAAAGCTGTGTGCCACTTCAGGATCTCCAACTGCTTCTTCGTCGGCACCTTGAAGGCCTTTGAGGGAAAAGCGACGAGTTTCGGACCCATCACATCAGAGCCGAGGAGACGCTTAGGCTGAGCCGGCCTGTCCCAGCTGCCGGAACTCAGTGGATAGTCATGGATAGTCTGTGTTCAGCCATGGTCCCGCCTTTCGTCTGCCACTCTTGCATTTGCGCTTCCTCACCCTCAGCAGGTCTTCAGGTTCAACGTGTCAGCTGAGAGCTTCTCGCAACCAGGCCCATGTGAGATGCAAGATTCTGGCATCTCATAGTTGATGACACATTGGCAGCATGAGCTACGGAAACCGCGAGACACTAGATCGGTGCTGATCAACACACGAGGGCAGTCTTTGTCCCTGAAGTCTCGCAAAGCGGCATCAGAGCTCACCTCCCATCGCTTTCCATCCTCCTCTCGAACAAGCCCACGACCTCCCCTTCTTGCAGGATTGCGGCGGCATTGATCACATCCCACCAGGCGCCCTTGACCTTGCCAGCCGCATCGCCATCGCCATGGGCATTCAAGACGATCAGGACCTTGCTCATCGCGGTGAATTCCTGAGTCTTCGCGTCTCTTTCAACTTCACCGCTTTCACCAAGGCTTCATCTCGCGTTTCCATAAACTCCCACCAGGCCTTACGTGACTCGGATTTCGGGCTTAGTCATGGTGCTGCATAACTTATATACGGGCTTGGTGACGTTTAGGGCTCAGAACTTCTAGGCTGGTATAGGCATTGCAAGTGGGCGCTGGGAGCTTTTGGGGTTTAGGGTTTGGTGCGCTTGGGGTTTATGTTCACAGGGTTTGGGGTTTTAGTTTGGGGGTTTAAGGATGCCTGAGCCATGGGCACTAAGGATGTCTATTTTTGTGTTAGGCAAGCCTTCGCGTTCGCTTCTGCAGTCAAAGTAGATCTGGACAATCCCGAAGAAAGAGACCCTCTCAAGAGACCCCTAGCTGCACGGTTCGCTGCAAAACCTGTATTACCTGCTTCAAAAGAGGAGCCCTACCTCCAGAAACAAACCCTCAAGGCCCGCAGGGCGGCCTTGGGCGGTTGTTCGCTGGGATTCCCGCTGGAAGCTTGCAACCATGTTCTGCTGCAGCTGCTGCTGCGGCTGCTGTGCTCCCTGGAGCAGCTGCTGCTGGAAACCTTGCTGCTGCGGCTCTTGTGCTGCCGGGGCAGCTGCGGCGGTGGCTGCTGTGCTCCCTGGATGTCGTGCTTGCCAGTCTCGGACTGAGGATCCCTCTGGGTGCAGGAGGCGGGGAGGATGCCAGAGCCGCTGTACTTGCACCACCGGTCAGTCTCTTCCTTTGATCGGCAACTTCCCACCCGCTTCTCCACGATAAGGGACATCTCTTGCAGCAGAAGCCACCACAATGTTTTGTCTGGCTGACCTGGCAGATTGACCTGCTGCAGGCGTGAGGCGTTTCTGACATCGGTCAGGTTTGAGTTGGGACTTAGGGAGGGTTGTTGTGTACATGGCTGGGAACAGCTTTAGGAACCTGATCAGGAAGCACTGACATACTGAAGAAAGGAATCCCTGGCCCTGCTCCCAAACGCTCTCAACTTTTGGAATTTGCCTCCAGGCAGTCCGTGAACCATCCTCTCTCCTTTGCGGAGCAACATCCCCCCAAGCGACCCCTCAGGGGATTTGGCTCTGAAGCGATTGGGGCTGGAGGTTCGGTGCCTGGTGCCCCTCAGGGATGCGACAGATGTGCAGGCCCCAAAATGCTATGACCTGAAACCCAAAACCCTACAACCCAAAACATTGCCTAAACCCCCATACCCTACAACCACAACAAGCCGCCCTATCAACCATCGAAGCTGGGGCCGTCTACACCTCGCCTTGCTTCTCTCGACTTTGAGCCCTGCACTCCTCAAGCTCTGCCATAAACGCTGCAGCCGTTGCTTCTTAGCTTTAGTGGAAGGTCTAAGTTTCAGGGACGGGATTGGCTGTGGTTATTTTGTCTGAATTTAGGGCCGAGTTCCCGACTGAGAATTTCTTTCGATATGTTACCCTCAACTCTAAAGCAAGGCTGCCCGGACCCCTTCTGATGCGATCCGCAATAAGCCCTGCCTGAGTACAGCCAGCACCGCAACTCCTCAGCGACAGATGATGCTGCTTTGGCTCAACTCACAGCTGAATCCTTTAAACCCTTTTTGCCCGCAAGCCACGATCTTGTAATTATAGTATTCTGACCAAACCATGAACCTGAATGTGCGCAGATCCCGTGCGAAAGCCTGCAGAGCTCTTGCTATGAGGCAATGGCAAGGGTGCTGATGATTGGAGCAAGAAACGTGATGCAAGATCGTCAAGGAACCGAATGGTTCAAGACTGAAGTTTTCAGTCAAGCCGTCCTAAACTCAGCCAGGCATTTTATAGAAGCCACTCTGCCTCGTCCGGTGTATTGCATTGAACTCGAAGCCTGAAAAGTATCGGGAGTCAATCGGGAGCTGCTCCTTTTAGCTGCTCAGCACTCAGCACTTGGGGGAACTCCGGGTTTTCGGTTAGTTCTGCTAGTCTTTGGAAGCTACACCGAAAATCCCAACCACAATGGGCTTCAGGTCTAAGAGCTTCAGGGCTGCAGGTCCGGGAGCTTCGGATTGAGCCCTTATCCATCTGGGAGTTTGCGAAAATTAGGGGTACTCTTATTTTGGTGTCCTTATAATAAGGATCCTACTATTTACGGCACTATATTAGGGTCCCCTATTCTCGGAAACCCCACATAAGGCTTCAGTTGAGCTACTCCTTTGGATCTCGATGCACGTCGAACCCACCAGAGACCCACCAGAGATCACATGGAGCAAGTCGTCCTCCAGCTGATCACGACCACAAACATCTCTCCACCTTCCCCAAGATCGCATGGGCACGTTATGAATGGAAGACCGAAACCTTCGCGTTTCCTGCAGCCCTGAAGATCGTCCGAAGCTCCGAAGCTCTACCTTTCTACGCCCTCTCTTTCCCAGCTGCTGTGAGCACTGCCATGCAAAGGTTGTCGAGCCCCAAAATTCGAAAGCTTTGAAAGAGGCTGCACAGCACGGACCTAAAGTGTGATTTTTGCAGAAAAACCTGAACTAACCAAAAAGAAAGGGTTTGGGCTAGCAACTTGGTTCCGTTTCACCCCTGCATCCAGTGGAAGCTCGGAGCCCAAACCGCTCTTCAAAAGCACCACAGGACCGAGACCCTAAAACTGCGCCTGCTTGCGCAACCTCGAAACCACTGAAACTCAAGCTTTGAGCTTTAGGTCTGGCGGGAACCCTGAACCCGAACGTTCTCACACCGCGCAGCAAATGCTCCTTCAACGAGAAAATCGTGCGCCGCCGCTTCCAAGCCAGCGAAAGCCCTCAGCCCTGAACTCGAAAGTCCATGAACCGCATCCTTGCAATTCCCAGGACTTCAACCTCCTTCCCTGAATCCCCCCCCAGAAAGCCTAGGCCAACAGTCGGAGCCCCGAACCCCACGAAGCGGATTCCGGCCCCTTCCCCAACACGGCCTCTGAGCCCGTAGAGTATCCGCAGAAGGATTCGAAGCCTGACCGGAAGGCCGATAGATTGAGGAATAAGGGCTTCAGGGCTTTGATTTAGGGCCTCAGGAGGTTTAGGGCATTAGGGTTTAGAGCTTTCGGGCCTAGGGCTTTAGGATTCAGAGCTTTGGGTTCGGGGGTTTTGGCTTTAGGTTTGGGGAGTTCCGCTGCGATTGCGGAGACAAGAAAACAGAGGTGCCCTCCTGCGGGCCTCAGAAATCAAAGAATGCACCCCAAGCTTCCGAAGGGACGCTGGCCATCCAGGCCTGATCAGCAACAATCGGACATGAGATCGAAGGATAAGGATCTCCATGGGTTTCGAGGAGACTGAGCTACTGGCACATGCCCTCCGGTCGAGATCCTGCATCACCTCTGGGTGGCAAGCACGAGCATGCCAACAGTCTACAAGCTCAGGCTGCAAACAAGGGTCCTGGAGGTAGTCGCACGGATAGATGCACAACAGATCCAGATAGTGGTCGTCGTCTGCCGCCTTCACAGATGCTTGAGCTGAGACAGTCAATTTGAGGCAACAAAATTTCTCACAGGCGCCTCTGTGCAGAGAGGAGGGCCAATGCTTGCCGGCGGCCGATGAACGAGTGGTCGTATGGCATCGAAGATGCGTCCTGGATTGCGTATTGCAAGCTGCAGATTCTCGCGGCGAAGTTCCACAGAAGGCCAGCCCAGCTGCGAGAACTGCAGGTTGCGCTTCCACGCCCGTGGAGCTGGCTGATTACGCTTGGCAAGCATGGCAACTCTGTTTAATTCGTTCATGTCATCCCAGCTTAAGCTGCCGGGGTTGTGCACCCAACGAATCTTCGCCAGTCTCCTGTCGTCCTCCGCAGTGGCATATTCGTGCAAGGTGTTCGGCAATGCCCAGCCAGCCACGGCTGGATGCGTTGCCTGATGCTCGTCCAGCAAGCTTGCTATCACGCCGCGCTTGGCCGGCACGACGTCCGACTGCCCCTCGCACACAATTGAGCCATCGTAGGCGAAAGGTACGATGCCGACACGGTCGCGCAGGTCTATGTCCTGAAAACCTGAACCAAGAATGCCGGGCTCCTGGTCGTAGCCATTGATTTCCATAAAGGCCGAAGCACGGATCGCAAGTCGACCCGTGGTTGCGGGCTGATTCGCCCGGCACCCCAACAGCTGCAAAGTTCGTGCAGTAAACCTCGAAAGCACCAACTCAGCAAACCTCGGTGGCAAAACGATATCGCAGTCTAGGTTGACAAGAACGTGGTCACTGAGGTCGGCGTCCTGAGTGTCTATGCACTGAAGGCCAAATCGATGCGAGGTGTTCTTTGCAAAGCTCGCGTGGAAGTAACCGTCTGTTTGACGGATGTCAGCGAAACACACCCTCACGTCCAGCTCTTCTGTACCCTGCATGCCAAGGACAGTGTAAAGCCTTTGCAGGGACTGTCGCTCCGAGCCATCTTCCGCCAGAACAATGCACCATCGTAGCCTTGTGCTGACCTTGTTCGCAGAGTCGGCCAAAGTGACCTGCGCTTGTCGCAGTAGCATAGCAAGAGCAGTAGCAACAGCAGCAGCAGCAGCAGCGGCAGCGGCAGCGGCAGCGGCGGCGGCAGGTGGGGGCGCCAGGCAGCAGGCGGTAGTAGCAGCAGTGGTACCCTGGGCTTCCCATGGCCCTGCTAACTCATATTAACCGGAATCTTGGGCACAGACCGGATTACCCGCCCCGCGATTGGTGTGAACATCCTCGTTTACTCCGATCCATGCACTACAGTAGTATAACGACAATACAAGTTGCTCAGGCTTTTGCCGTTTCCCGGCTAGAACTTCGGGAAAACCATGCTTTTCCTTTTTAGAATACAGAGAAATTGTACATTTCCGAGGTAACGATAAAGAAAACACAAGTTGTTCAAGAGTTGCCGCCTGTGTTTTTTCAAAGACAATGAAACACACAGGTTTTTGTATGAAAATAGAAAGCCAGTAGTTGTAGTAGTAGTCGTAGTAGTAGTAGCAGCAGTAGTAGTAGTAGTAGTAGTAGTAGCAGCAGCAGCAGCAGCAGGAGTAGCAGTAGTAGTAGTAGTAGTAGTAGTAGTAGTACTAGTAGTAGTAGTAGTAGTAGTAGTAGTAGTAGTAGTAGTTGTTGTTGTTGTTGTTGTTGTTGTTGTTGTTGTTGTTGTAGAGTCGTCGTGATGGCAGTAGTAGTGGAGGCAGTAGCAGCAGTAGCAGCGGCACGGGTAGTGCTGGCAGTGGTGTTAGTAGTCGTCGTCGTGGTCGTTTAGAAATTAGATTTAGTCTGAGTTCATATTCGTGGCGGCACTAGCTACAGTAGCGAGCACAAGAAGCTGAAGAGACGCCTTGCAGCCGTGGCACTACATTGGGCAGCAAGGTGCTACACAGTTGCCGGCTCCGTCTCACGCAGGCCGTGCAAAAAGTGAGCGAGCGAATGGGCGAGACCTCCCGCTCTTGAGGTGTAGTCAACCTCGCCGCAACACTCTGAATTTCGCGATCCAGTTCGCCAGGCAGCTGCCACTCCTGAGCGAGTCCGACCGATGCTCTCAATAGTCTGCACTCCTCGTGCTACCGCTTGCTACTGACTCTTCTGCTCCAGTCTGCGGCCGGGGTGCCACCCTGTGTTGCGATAATTTCGCGTGGTGCGCAGCAGACGCCAAGTGCGCGAGCGCCTGGTCCAGACCACGGGGCCTTTTCCCACAGAGCCGGCAGATGTACGTGCCGTCTGACTCTCGCTCCTTGCAGATCATCGAAGCAACCTACTTCAAGTTACCAGAATAGGGATCGACAGCAAATAACATGGTTCCTTTACTATGGTAACCTAAATTTAGTCCCTTAACAAGAACCCAGAAAAGGCTCAAAGATAACAAACTGAGTGATGTAATAGTATAGTATGTACTGTTGGGGCGCCAAATACCTATCAAGTATCTACTATAATCGTACCTGGACCCTTGGAGCCTATGACATAAGGTCAGCATAGATGCTACGCGCTGACTCTGCAGCAGAGCTTGCGTCTGCAAGTCCTCCGCCATGGCGGCACCGAGCTGCATCAACAAATTCAGAAAAAACAATAATACTATACATACATAAGTCTTTCTGTGCATATATATATATATACATATATATATATATATATATGTAACTATATGTATAAATGTTGCTGCAACACTGCAACACCCCATCGCCGTTCTTTATGCGATCATGTCGTCTATCTGCTGCTCCATGGAGCCCCGCCCGGCTTGGTGATTGGGAAATCCGCTTCATCTTCATCCATGTAAGCCTCCACGATCGATCAAGGGCACATCAGCTGGAGGCAAGAGAAAAGCAGACGGAACGGCGCGGCTGCCTTCGAACGCTTGGATTTTCTGCGCAGCTTCATGCTCCTCAATTGGCCCTAAAGGTCTCAGAGATCCGAAAGCTTGCACATACTATCTGCAGATGCAGAGTCTGTGGCACAGAATTATGATCTTACCGGCTGCAATAACATGGAGGATGGCCCGTCGTGAAGCTAAATGAGAAGGAAGGCAGAAATAAGATCGCGACCACTCCCCTGACTTGCTAGCGAATTGAGCAGGATGGGAAGCTTGCATGCCAAGCGGCTGAGAAAACTTATGGGTAGCTTTGGCACCGGACATGGTTTCACAACCTAAGGAAGTCCGATTCGACCATGTGGGGGACAGCTGCTTGACATACCGGGCCCACCCATGGCTGCTTCAGAATCTGCCTATCGGCAGGCCTTGCACAAACATGACACTCGAGTTGAGGTCTGTTTGGAGCCGTCTCGAAGCAGAGGCCCAAGATCACCTGCTTAGGGTTTTGCCCACGAGAGCCTCCGCTTCGGGAATCTTGCCCAAAAGTGAACCACTGCAAGATTGAATGCCAACCTCCCCACCTTAAGCAGGGTTTTAGCCGGCGAAGCAACACGAAGCTATGCATCAGCTCGGTCCTCTGAGACTTAGCCATAGGACCGACTCCGCTCTCACCAGGCATCTTCCAGCTCCCATGGCTCCAGCGTGCGATCGTCCGTGGCCGGACCTGGGACAGGTGCAAACGCTCCTCCTCCGAGCCTTCGGGCCCCTCGGATTTGCAACCCTTCCGAGGCCCGGGCCTCCCGAACCTCCTCCCTGGGACTCCTGCGAGGCAACCGCCACACCGGCTATGGAGAGAAGCGTGGTCCCGGTCGCTACCGCGGGAGGTGCGCTCTATCCAGGCAGGAAAGAAGCGCCTGCATCTTGGAGGCAGCAAGCTCCGCTGAGTGCCTCAGCAGCTGACAGCTGTTCGGACTCCGGTGGGCCAACGTCTGGCAGGCATTGAGCCTTTCATTACGCAACGCTTCGCGCTTTCCAGTCGCATGGTCTTATGGTCTAGCACTGCCCAAGCGGCAATGCTTCAAACACCGCAGCAAACTGCGGAAAAGGCCTCGAGATCTCATATACCAGTCAGACATTCTACCAATTATCTAACATAATAATAAAATATAATTATCCACTATCGAATATGCCGATGATACATTCAGTCATTGGACGGTTTCCTGGTTGTGCCCCTGGTGCGCCCAACGGCTCTCTCAGGTCGCTTTCAGCGGCAAGTCGGAAAGCCTGACCAGTCACGCACACAAATCCTGTGCAAAATCACGACAGAGGACGTGAAAGGTATGGTATAGTCATAGGATGTAATCGTAGTAAGAAGAAGGTATAGTAAAGTGTACAGTAATAGGGTGAAATAGGAATAAGAATGAGGATCAACATCCAGTTGTGGATCTACAGGCCTTCGGCGACATCTGCTCCAGGGGCTCAGCTGTGCTTCTTGCTGTCGCCATTCCTTGCGACACGAGACGTGGGCGTTAGGGGTACCTTAGGGTTGCCTTAAAGGGTTCCTTGAAGGGATCTATAAGGGTTCCATAAAGGGTTTAGGGTTTAGAGTTTCCGAAAATTGGGGTTACCTTATTTTGGGGTCCTTATAATAAGGATCCTACTATTTAGGGCACTATATTATATGCTTCAGCACCTTGAGATGGGGCATGCAAGGCTTGGCGGATTGCAGCTGATTGAGTCCCCATTCTCCCGAGAGGCCAAGCAAAATCTCCCCCCCCCCCTGGGGTCCTGTAGCTTGTCAGCGTACGCCAGAAGACATAAGCCGGAAAGATCATCCAGACCTGAGCTGCGGTTCGCAGTTCTGCCCTATATGGTCAGCACAGTGACGTGAGAGACTGCTCCTCCGGGGTCTGCGCACTACCGCAAGCCTTATCAGCCCAGCTCAGCCTCAGCAGAACAGCTTTCGCAGGCACGGGCTTTCCAAGCCAAGCGTCCTGAGGGCCCCTCCAGCAGGCATGCTCCAGACGCATGATGCCGGGGATGTAGTACACCCTGGGCAGGCCCATCGATGCTTCGGGGCCGTGGCTGCCACTTCACAAAAAGAAGCTTAGGGCTCAGGGCTTGCCTGATTTGTATAAGTCATTTGGGTCCCTTTTTGGGTCCTGATTATACTACGGCACCCAATATTTAGGGTACCCAAAAAGGGGCCATAACTTTGACAACCACCCATTTAACGGAAACATGATCCATGCCCCGAGGTCCCAACACTGTTCCAGCAAATTGTATAGCCAGCGCTACCAGTTCCACCAAGTACCTCCTGTGGTCCTGGCGTTCGACAGGCCGGAACCGCTACCCCAAAGTAGCTTGGGCAGGGTCCTGTGTCAGGAAGAGGTACATCATCCACGCAGCGAAAGGGGCCTTCGCACACTGGCATGCTGCTGTGGAGACACAAGTACGAGTACGTTGATCCCGCAGCGACGCATCCCAAGCTGGGCTGCCCCTGAACTCTAAACCCGGCAAAAACAGCTCACTGGGGCGGGCCTCGACAAACAATTCTAGCGCATAGGCGCAATCAAAGTGTACCCGATTCCTGCCACTCTTGGCTGAAAACATGCAGCCACCCCGAGCTCCGAAGATGCGATGCAAAGCTCTCAGCACCAGGCGGATGCCAGCGCGGATAGGAGTGAGTAGGGCCTGGAAGAGTTACACTCGTACTTGCGAGTCACCGTCGAAAGCAACGTCGGAAGAGGCTCTCATTCTTCACAGCGGCTGCTGAGCTGCTGCCCTGATCTGGACGGCCCACACGGCTTAACTCATCCTCGCCCTACGGTGTGGGTCACATGAACCTGGGCGCTGGCACTACTTTGACCGGAAGATGTTGAATCCAATGTGTAAAGCTCATGATAGCTCATGAAGCCAACAGAGCTTCAGAGTGCTCAGACTCCTGCAAGATCAAGTCCGACGAATGCTCCGCCAGGGTGAACGCAAGCGAAACAGATACTCTCGCTACCTTGTGGCCACACCACCTCAGCGGCAGACTCATTCGCGTGTACAGCTCGGTCAGCACCGGCATTACCTGAGCAAAACGAAGGCTCCGCGCTTTACGGAGAGTCGTAGAGCCACCCTGCCTGATAGTAGCCGCTGAAGACGTCGCAGCCGGTGTGAAACCAAAAAAGGTTCACATGCCACCACATCTTGGAGCAATCCGGCACTCTCAAATCGTTCGCATTCCACAGCATTTGAATTGCAGCCAGGCTCAACCAATCTCTATCCTTCATCACTGTCAATTTGGGAACCTACACTACAAAAGTCAATAGCATTACAGTAACCCTATGTAACCCTTCTGGGAACCCTTGTAGTTACCCCCTAAGGGAATCATCTTCGAGCCGCGGACAAGAGAGGTCCGGTCCTTGAGGCTGAAGCCATACTTGGAGCAGGCTCCGGCCAAGAGCGGCCTGAAGCACACAGAAAAATACGGGTTTGGGGTTTAGGGTTTTTTTTTGAACCCTCTCTTCTCCCTGCCTGAGTTAGGTTGGTTGAATGCCACAGGTGGCTGAGGGGGTACCGGAGAAACACATCAACGGGGTTTGGGGTTTAAGGGTTTAGGGGCTTGGGGTTTAGGGTTTGGGGGCTTATGGCTTATGGTTTTGGAAGTTTAGGAAGTTTAGGGCTTTAGGGCTTAGGATTTAGGATGATTTAGGGCTAGAAGGGCTGTAGGGCTTCCGGGCTTTAGGAGTTTTAGAGTTTAGGGTTCAAGGCGGTTCAGGGGTTTAGGCTAATTGCCTAGGACCTTAGGATCTACTGGTCCACTTCCAAGGCATGACACTTGCGAGCTCCGAGTCGTATTGCGGTGAAGGGTTCAGGATAGACCCTGCACGGGTGACAAGGAATGCCGCACTGCCTGAGCCTCAGACACAAGGGCCAAAGTTGGGAAGCCAGTGCATAGCCACACTGGAGCTTTCATGAACTGCACCTGACGTCTCGCGAAACCACAGAAACAGACAACAAAATACACATCGATGCTGAACACTAGGCGTCCGACGGCTTGCATGCCAGTCAACTCCAGTTTGGGTGGCCTCAGCCGCATTCCACAAGACTCGAAACACCGGCTCCGTCAAAGCAGTCTGGTCCTCATCCCGCCATCCCTTTGCTAGGGTTCTGGCCACACACACTCGTGATAATCCACCACGGACATGAGGGCCTGGGATCCCGGGACAGAGCACAGCTTCGATATTCCAGGCTCCCGGTGCGGTGCCATTGTTGCGAAGGCGAAGAGCACAGGCCAGTAGGCAGTCAGAAACTCCTGCAGCCGTAGCAGTAACTGCTTTGCACACTGCTTGTCACCAGGTTACTATAAGGGTCCCTTTAAGTGTTCCATAAGGGTCCCAGAACTATAAGGGTCGCTTAAGGGTGCTATCAGAGTCCCCTTAAGGGTTCTATCAGGCTACTGTAAGGGTTGACAGCAGGCCCCACCTGCATGGTGAGTCTCGTGCAGGCTATCCCGTGGCGGCTCAAGTGTCAAGGAACTCTCTTTCTCAGGTGCTCATACGTGCTCGAACCTTTTCCTCTTCATAGCCACAGGTATCCCTTGTGTCCGTTGCACGATGGTCATCAAATTCTGCTTCTGGGCGAATAGAGACGCTGAGAAAAACCCAAGCCTTGAGAAACAGCTGCAGCCAGAATCTGTGAAAAACGATGCCACATCGTCGTTTTGAACAACTGCGCAGCTTTAATACAGACACAAATCCAAATGATTCCAGATGCCTAACCAGGATCCAGTGCACTCGCAAGCACATAGATGCCGCATGCAATGTTCTCGTGCAGCGCGATTGATGCACGAGTGCATTCCCTTCAAAGCTTTGTGACGGTTGTCGGGGCCCCGTGCTTGGAATCCCGGTCGGCTGAAGCTATCGCATCCTGCGGCCGAAGTGAGGAGGTTGCCAACTGCGTCTGCACGTTGAGCTGAGTGGACATGTGTCCCACCTGGTGCAATGCTTCCTCGCTCCTTCTGGACCAGATCACCTGCACAAACTGCAAAAAGGCCTTTATGAACGCTTTCAAGTGCCGTCCAGCTACATCGGATGATGCAACCATGATGACCTACACTGCCTTGGTGCTGGAGATTTTGCTCTGGGCTGGCACACAGTTTTGCACTGTGTCTGCGTATGCTCGGGAGCATGGCAACCAGTTGAGCTGGTTCATGGAGGAACTGCTGCAGCAGCTCTGTACTATAATAAGGGTCTTGAGACATGAGACTGCACAGTTACCCCAGGAGTGAAACGCGAGAGTGGCGTCCCTGGAGTTCTCACTGGCTTCTAGAGGGGCCTTAAAAATTAGAATAGGGTGTTGAGGAGCAATATACTACACTTAGTTTGAAGAACCCCCACAATAGTCTAGGTAATTATGAAGGCCCCTATATTCCCATCCACCTTGCTTCAGCGTTCCGATTGAGGTTCACCCAATTGCAAGGAGGCTTCTGGAGTCATCTTCTTGGAGTACTCCAAGGAAGCAGTAGAGGCTATTGTACATAGCAGCTCCTCTACAAGCTGCCGGTCGAGGAGCTGAAGCAGTTACATTAATGCACTGCTTCAAAACTAATATACTGAGCCAACCGGATCGTGTTTCAACTCCCTCAAGGCTTCAATGGAATCTGAAGCATTCCTTGCGCTGCCGGTCATCGGAGGTACTCCCCTCTCCGTCCTCCAGCAATTTTTTGCCTCAGGTGCGAGCTTAAGTTGTTCAGAACTGCAGGAACCACGGCGTAACAGCAAGCTGGTGCAAGCTAGGCTCTCCAGCAAAGCTCCCTGGCTTCTGCTGCCGCCAGGTAGGGGCAAGGGCTGGCTGCCGAGGTTGCCTCAAGGGCTGGTCATTCCGGCCATGCATTCTTTGCCAGGAAACTGGTGCCGCATGCCACCAGGGCCTGCGAGGGCGCCCGGGCAAGCTGCTTGTAAAACTGCTGACTGCCAGCAGCCTGGACCTTCTGCTGCCTCAGGAACGGAGGCATCACACTCTAGTGCAAAGCAGATTCAGATCTCAGAACATCACCTGTACTGTTCCAACACCTTGCGGAAGGGATCCTGTTCGTCACACCAGATCTGCCACTACTCTGCGGATCTTTCGCGCACATAATGCTAACTAAAAAATCAAAAATAACAGTACTAAGACTAATAACACCAATACTAATAAGAACTAACAGTAATCCTCGCTGTCCTGGCCGCTGGTTTGCTGGAGCACTGCCGGGACGCCTGCCAGGCCGCTGGTTCTCTGCGGCTCCGAGAGATGCGTTGTTTTCCCCGTGCCACGGTTTAGGGTTTAGGGTTTAGGGTTTAGGGTTTAGGGTTTAGGGTTTAGGGTGAAGCTTCTACAAGGCCTCAAATCTCAAGCTTCAATCACGAGTGATGACAGTCGTACGTAGGGTAAGAAAGACAACAATTATTCAATAAAAGCGGTCATATGAAGAGTAATAAGAGCAATGATGCTAAAAAATCAAAACACAATTTTTTGTCCTAATAGTAAGTAGCAGTAGTAATAACAATCATAATAACAACAACTCTTTCAGCCCTCGCCCAGCAGACCTGGCCCGTGGCTCCTGGTGCCGGAGAGGGCGGGAGAGTCACCGTCCTGCGGGGCTGCTGACCTATGATATATGCCACACTAACGTGTAGTGTTGTAGTATGTCACTATATATTGTAGTCTTTCAATGTGCTTTCTAAAGTATATGAGCATACACAGGGTATGTCGTAGTGTTTTGGCACCTGAGAAAGACCTCCCAGGTCCTTAAGGACGCCACCCAGGCCCTTGCAGTGCTCCAGGAAGGCGGCCCAGTGACGGTCCAGGCGCAACACCTACGACAAGGCGACGTGTCACATCAGGTCTGCATGATGGTAGTAATAATAGCAATAATAGTGGTAATACTAGCAATTCTAGCAACATTCATACTAACATTACTAATAGTAGCAAAAATTGTCGTTCCCACGGCAGTAACTGTCTTGCTGTGCCTCAGGACTTCCCAGCACGACCAGGCCTGCAAGAGCACAAAAAGAGAGTGGGTCTTTCCGTTCCGTCGACAGCTGCGCACGGAGGGGGCACAGGCTTGGCCGAATTCGATATGCACATGAGCACGCATAGACTCATCTTAACTCTGAAGGGGCCTACTCTGCCGCGGCTTACAGCAACGTTGAGCAAGTGCCTTGGCAAGAGAAGCAAAGAAGCTGGTGGAGTTTGACCTTGATACTCTCAGCTCTGGGCTTGTCCGCAAGGCACCCCAATCTCTGCCCGGCCTGTTGCCCAAAGGCGAGTCGCCACCACAGGGGATGGCAATCAGCGGACGGCCTCCGTCAGTCCGATGCCGTTGGAAAGCACGGTGGACAGGAGGACATAGTCCCACCTGGCATCCCACAGAGGTGCGCGCCACGGATGCCAGAGGAATTATTCGAGCCGCGGGACTCGGAGCCCTGCGCCGTAACCACGGAGCCAACGTGGATACCTTTTGCCCCAAGCCGGCGAAGCTCGCTTTTCAGCTCCACCACCTGTGACAATCTGAAGATCCACCCATTTACAACAGAAGAGAGATCTGCCAGAAACTCGCCTGGGCGTTGTACCAGGAAAGGACGGCGACACTCTTGGAGCCAGCCCGGGCTGCAATTTCAGCTGCCAGCCTGCCCCCCGGAATCATCACAGGCGCCTGCTCGTGTAGATCGCTCCACCTGCCTTGCACATCGCTCGGCCTCCTTGACATTCGCCTTCGAGACACTTCAGTAATGTAGGAACCTGATTAAGAAACCCTGGCCCTATAACCCCAAAATAGTAGGATCCACATAAGGAGCCCGAATAAAGGCGAGTCTTAGTCAGGTTCGTAGATTACGAGACTCCGATGCTGCGCTGCTCATCGGCCTTGGATCGCGTGGACGAGTCCTTCGTGGCGACCTCGTGCACCTGCTCACTTGGAGGATCATAGGACTTAGTAAGTAAGGTTATAAGTACCCTAACTGGGGTTATAAGTATAGTTACCCTAATTATAACCCTATAGTTACTAAGTCCCATGAGCCTTTAAGCAACCAGCAAACCAACAGCCCTACCTGGACCTTTTTGCGTCTCTGCCTGTGGAGCCCCCGCACGAACACTGCAGCCCTGCTGTTGATGATGATCTTCTCTGCCGTGGAATGTGACAGAACTCTGCGTGAGTGGGCGTTCGGCCGTGGCACTTTCGGCGACGAGGATTTTAGCAAGCAAGCCCACGAACCAACCGAATCCCACTAAAATGCCGCAACACACAGGTGCTCGGCACAGATCGTGCTGGAGAGCCTCCTCCTGGAATGTGGAAGGCGACGTCCAGAAGAGCACTGGAGAGGGTGACCCGGTGTATCCGTGGGCCTTGCCAGGCTTCGGTGCTAAAGCATAGGCTTGTTTGAAAAACCATAGTTTTTAGAAAGACCATAGGTTTTAAGAAAAACTATGTTTTTAAAAACGATCATCAGAACCAGACGCTTGGAGGTTCATGGGTAGTTATCAGTAGGGTTAAGTCCCCTAATAGGGTTGTAAGTATAGTTACGCTACTTATAACCCCACTTATTACTACCCATGAACCTCCAAGCAGAGACTTGCCGGTACTTTGAAGTTGAACCCTACACTGGTCGCTACCGTTGCAAGGGAGCAGTCCAAGAGGGAAAGCTGGGTTTTGCACAAGCATTCCAGCCGGACGGTCTTGCGTCGACTTGTCGCTGAACACCTGGCACTCTTGCACAGCCGTCGCTCTGCCCTCGAAGCCGCGAAATGAAGTGCGACATTCTGGAAGTGCCAGAGGAGACCAAAGTGCAAAGGTCTCGTCACACTCATGAGCGGGCAGAATCCCTTGCTCCACACTCCCACACAAGACCCACCTTCCCCCCGTAGAACTGCTTCGAGGGAAAGCTGTTCCTGCCGCAAGCACGAGCTCTGAACGGCGGCATACTTATATTGACACGCGTCGAAATGCACAGCTTGAAACAGATCGCAGGCAGTCATGCTGGGGTGCATCCGATACTGCTGCCGGAGCAAGACTGAAGATGGTGCCTGAAAGGTTCACTGCTTCGAATGAGCAATTGCAGGACGTGAGGAGCCAGAAGAGCCCGATGCCTGAAGCGGAGGTGTTAGCTGGCTTGCCGGCACCTCAGATGACCAGAATCGGGCGGGCAAGCCAAAGGACCCCTTGACTAAGCAGCGTGCCGCCTGCTCACCTAGCGAAGGCGTGGCAAGCCTGGAAAGAAATCATGTGAACATATCACCTGTGTGGAAGTGATGCACAAGTTGCATGTTGAGCCGTGCACCCGCCCAACTTCTGAAGCTCCTCGCATCTCTCACACCACAGTGAATGTCAGGAATCGAACAACACCCGCAGAGAATCAGAGAGCCACATTCTACAGTCCTCGTTGCTACAGAAGCAGCCTGCAACGTACCGAATCCGAGTTTGGAGCTGGGACGAGCCAGGAGCGCCTTTCTCGCTGTTGTCGTCCACGAGCCGTGCAAAGGACTTCAAGTCCACATCCTCAACGCCTCGCAAGTGGGAGTGGGCTCTAGAAAGTATGGGCGGATGCAAGCAGCCCCTTGTTTTCCACGCCTAGCTCGGAGCAGAGAACTTTGAATTCCTCCCTCCACTCGGAATCTGTTCCTGGCAAGGATTGGGAATCTCAACACTATTGCTTCGGGTGAAAACCCAACGGGCTCCTTCCCACCCAGTAAGCTCTGCAAAGACCCGCATGTCCTTCAGAAAGCTTCCGCAGTCACCGCTTCACAGTTGCTATCAGACTCTCTTCGCTGCACTTGGCTTGCCAACCCTTTCACGTCGCAGTATGCTGATGCTTTGTTCTTTGAGTCATGGCTTTTTCACTATAGCGGCTCAGGTGGGGTGGACATGGTGAAGGACAGAAGTGGGAACTAACCCTGGCGTAGGGCAGCACCTTGTTCTCCACCTACGTGGGTGACTTTGTTTCGTTTCTCACTTTCTTACGTCGAAAGCCCCCTTTGCGTCTCCCGTGGTTAGAGAGGAAGCAGACATCATCATCGAAGCCTGGCGAGGATACGCTGGCCAGGCGGGACTGGGCAACAAGGGTGGACATGCAACCATAAGTTGTGAATCAGCCGTATGGGAAAGCCAATCTGCAACAAAGCAACTAGCCCACACACATGTCGGCCTATGCAGAGGACAGGCCATTTGGGACTGAAGCTAGCCACGTGCATCAAACTCTGCAGCAGCCGAAGGTATTTCATACCAGGTTGCGATGTCACAAGCAAACTCGAGCGCCAATCAATGAGAAGTCATGGACACGAGTACAAACGGTCACAACTGCGTCCCGAACTCCCATCAGCATTTTCTTCTTGCTGAGCCATACATGCCTATTCTGTCTTGCTGCGTAATCCGAACGTTAGCGATGGCTTCAGGCGCACGAAACCACAATCCTTTGCATAGTTTCGGCCCGGGTCCTCAGCTTGAAGCCTGCACGAGGAGGAGCCTGAAAGCTTTCGCGAGCACTGCATTTTCCAAGGGCTCACATGCCTTCCTCCAAACAAACCGATACTAGTAAGTAACATCAGGGCCTCGAAGAGCACAGAAAGCCTGCCGGCACTCTAAGCAACGGCCACTTTCTGCATGTCTAGCAGAGTCTTGTGTATCTCCGCGCAAGGCACGATCGAACGGTGACACGATTGCCCTTGCAAGCGGACGGCGTCCGCATGGTGTTTCTTGAGCTGGCTTTCTGAAGGCCTGGAACACCAGTTGCGCCCTGTCAGGTGGCAGCTCCTGCTCACATGTCTTGAAGCAATGAAGGTCACGGGATCCAACCCCGCTTACCGCTTATGAGCTCTGTGCGCTTGTTGCTCGTTCATCGTTCTTTATTATCGTGTTTGTGGCTAGGGCAGCAGCAGAATCAGTAGCGGCAGGAGTAGCAGGAGTAGAGTTGTAGCAGCAGTAGCAGCAATGGCAGCAGCGCTAGTTGCCGTAGTAGCCGTAGTAGCAGTAGTAGCAGTAGTAGCCGTAGTGGCAGTAGTAGCAGTAGTAGCAGTAGTAGCAGTATGAGCAGTAGCAGCAAAATCAGCAGACGCAGCAGTAGTAGCAGCAGCAGCATTAGCAGCATTAGCAGCATTAGCAGCGTCAGCAGCAGCAGTCGTAGCAGTAGTAGTGGCAGCAGTAGCAGTGGCAGCAATAGTAGTAGTAGTAGTAGTAGTAGTAGTAGTAGTAGCAGCAGCAGTAGCAGTAGTAGTAGTAGCAGCAGCAGTAGTTGTAGTAGTGGCAACCAGCTCTCTGCTGTTGCCAGTTGAGTGACTCTGCGTCCTGTAGGTCGGACACATCCGGCAAGCGCGTGGACGCTGCATCAGGGTCCTTCCAGGTAGGCACTGGAAAATTTGCCACAAGCTTTTCACGGGGAGTGGCTAGGAGCAGGTAATAGAGTTCCCATTTCGAGGAGGCCCGGCGATGATTGGACGCCTTCAACCCAAAAACCTAGGCCCCGAAGCAAACACACGACAGCCGAAGCAATTCGAGCCTAAGACGCTCCGGCCCAAACCTTGAGCCTCGACGTTTACAACCATGCACAGATCACGGATGCAAGCCTTGTGATTGTTGCCGCGACATATGTAATCACAGGTAACGACTATTCGATTTGCTTAACTTGTCAATTCGTTCCTGCATTGATGTGTCGCTGCACTGCAGCAACCGTTCCTTCGCTTCTTCGTTCCTTACTTATTCCTTCCTGCCTTGGTGCTTCCGTACGTTCCTTCCTTTTTGCTCCTTCCTTCCGTCCTTATCTCCTTCCTTACTTCCTTCCTAATACGATGGTGGTAGTGGAGGCAGGTCGCGATGTCGCTACTGTATCTGCACACTGCAACTAATCCTCTGATGATTCTTACTACTTCGGCTCGTTGCCTCAACCTCGCCGGCTCCGGTAGAAAGGCGTTCGAAGAGCGAGCAGGCCAGGCCTACAGAAATGTGCGACAGAGAGGCTAGGGGTAAGATTTAGAGTTCATGGAACCCTAAAGAGTTCGGGTGCGATGTTGAATCTTATTTGTCAGCGTCAAGGTACTCTAATTCTAGGACTGCCGGCACATTGGACAGAAGCTCTAGGGCTTCGAGAACATGTTCCGCGAGCACTGCCATGGACGACCTGCTGAAAGGCACAGAATTTCTTATTTCGCGAGCTAGGACATGTGGTCGAGGTTGAGGGTCCAGCAGTCACAGCCGCTGAGCAGTGCGAGGCAGAAGCTAAGATGCTAGCCCAAACTGCCGGCATCACGGTTCTTCACCACCGGACGCAGCTGCCGATAGTCACCCACCAGGACCTTGCCCCGTATGTCAGCTCATGCAGCAGATAAAGCTAGAGGCTGGAGCATAAAGCTACTTCCTCTGAGCACGTGGCAACTCTCTGCACAGCTTTGCTCAAAGTCAAGGGGCAAAGAGTCTGGCAAGGTCTGGAAGAATCTCCCGCAACAGCAGTTGCTCCTTGGTGGCTCCATCGCGCCTCTGGCTCGGGCGATGTGCCGCATTCGTCCACCACCACCTGCCGCAGCTCTATGTTCTCCTGCGCCGAACATCACTGGATATGATCACTCCAACTCGAGCATGACCAGCGTCCTTCTGCAACAGCTGCGGGATCCAGCCCCGGCGGCAGGAACAGTTGGTTGCGAGGAGGATGTTGCAGCCTGCCATCACAGATCCAGGTGCCACTTCTGCTCTAAGCACTCGTCCAAGCATCAAGACCTGCTACAGTATGAATCCGATGTGTCCTTGCAGCCAGGATAACGGCACGATGGCACGATGTCCGGGCACGGCAGATCTGAGTCAGAAATCGGACGGTTGAAGTCATGCCAGGGCGACTTTGAAACTCAAACGCCCGAGCTTCTTGTCGTGCTTCCAAGTATGATGTCCTGCAGATATGTGCAGAATTCACCGGCACCTTTGCTGACTTCACCACCCCAGGCAGTGCTTCGACACACTTTTCTCTCGCGGGTAGAGGCTGCTGCCTTTTGCTTTGAAACGAGAGCAGCAGAGAACCTCATTGCGGCTCTTGACCTGCTCGGTAGCCACTGTTTGGCGGTGACCATCCCTGCCTTCGTTGGAAAATCTAGTGCATTTTGGGGAGAAATTCCACTAGAACTCGCTGGGCTTGAGGCAAGCAAACCCAGCGCGGTTGCCCTGGACGGGAGCCCGAGCCACAGCGCTGCTGCGGCTGGCTACATAATTAAAGCGTTGCTTCGGCGGGTTCCGGGTAGGAGCAGATAAGGCCGCGGGCATCTTCAAAGGACTCGTCTCGGCCTGGCATCGACGGCTCTGGAGCGGCGGAGCGGCTTTCGAGAGAAGGAGGACACTCGCCCAAGAGCCCGGCCGCCCAGCGGCTCTCCAAGCCACTGCTCAGCTCACTTGCGCCTCGGAGTGGGGAACTCGAGCTTTCTCTGCTATTGCTCATGTTATGGCTGCTTTCTTGCAAGAAAACTCTGAAGAGGCAGATGCTTCGATGGTTTCAATGGTTTGGGGCCTGGGCGGCATGAGGTCCGGATCCTCAGCGCTCCCTCGCACCTCAGCCCATGGGGGCCCGAAGCCCCAAAGAGCCCCAAAGCCTAGCACCGGTCTCTGCGCTTCTCCTCCCGGTCCCGGCCTTGAGGAATGCTTGCACCGGATCATCGATGCTGCTTCGCAGCACACCACCAAAGGTGTCTAATTCGGTGAGATCTTCATCTTCGACCTTGAACCGACGTAGGCTAGCATGGGAATGTTAAAGTCTGAAATGCTGCGTGCTCCAGCATGCTTTCCAAGTTGCGCTTTCCGACTTTGGCAGCACACTGGGGTCTGACCTCATGCTCCCATGTTGCCCCAAAAGAAACCCTGCTCGTGAGCGCGAGCGCAGTGCAGAAATGCAAGCACGGCTATCTCAAAAGAACTGGGGGCTGAACACCGAACTGATGTGGCCCCACGTGCTTCCTATGAGGACAAGTGCAGCAAGTGATCGCTTTGCTCTCTTCAGGTGCTCAGCTCGGCCTGTGAACTGGTAGGCAGGGTGGCTGTCACTGACCTCCACAACCCTGCGCTTCTTCTTCGCAAGGGGCCGGACGACCTGATGGTGCCATGCACGAAAGGCATTTTCAAAAGCGCAGACGGCACAAGCAGCCGCCATCCGAGCTCGATGAAAACGATTCAAGCACTCGCTCCAACCTCCTGCGACTACGGTTGCAGGATTGATCCAGAACCAACTCGGGATGCGACTCCCGGAACATCAAACTTGGCATTGTCAATGGCACCGATCTCATGCAGATCCTCAATCCTGTCCATGGACATGCCTGCCAAGAAGCACAGAAACCCCTGGAAAATCCTAAACAAGTGGAGCGATCTGATGCGACTCGGCTTAACTTGGCCAATGTGTGGGTTGTGGAGCGCCTGAGTCAAGTAGAACCTGCTCTGTGTGCTCACCAACACGAGGGGGCGGAAGGCGGTAGTCCACCTGTGGACTGAGCTCTGAGCAAACTCTGGTACTCCTGGAGCTGCTACGGTAACTCCTTCCCAGAAGCCCCGAAAAAATCAAGCCGCCTTTGTGCGGGAGAACTTCATCGGCGAGCCGATGAGCGAGACCGAGTCACTGAAGCCAGGGAGGTTCATCTGAATTTCCATGTCTCGCGACTGAACCTGAGAAGGAACTACGAGAATTAGAACACCCATGCCCGCGGCTGTTATGTGTTCGGACACGTTGTCCTTCGAGGTGCTGGACGTATGCGACGTATGCTTGTGCGGTGGTTTGGAGGCTTGCTGCTGGACTGCCGCAGCTTTAGACTTCCTGCTCAATGGGTGCTCGCAGGTGTTGGTGCGTGTTCGCCTCTCTCAATGTCCGTAACGCAGGCAAGAAGCATGAGGGTCGGCAAAAACTTCATCAAGGTGAAGGATGGGAGCACAACCGACCATCTCCTTCTCCAACTTCTCCAGCCACCAAAGCTTCTCGTGCTGCGAAGTGATCTCGTTCAGAGTCGGCGTCACAACATCCCTGTGAACGACGCGGGCCTTCATGGTGTTGAACCTCTCATCCTTCATGAGTTCCTCTCGGCCGGCCACCTTGCAGAAGCGCTCGAACTGATCGTTGTTGGATGCCGTCAGGATGAAATAGCCTCAGCTCAACACACTGCTCTGCAAACCAGTACCACCAAGACGGACAACGGACACCGAAAGGCAGAAACCCAAAAGGGAACACAAATACGAAAGATAAAATTCGAGCAGCCATCCTTGGCTGGCATGACCTGGTACGGCACCACGTTCGGGTGGTTGTTGCCCACGCGCTTCTGCCGCTGCTTCTTGGCCAAGTAGTTCATTCCCTGATTCGCAAGGAGCGCCACTGCCACATCCAGCATTGAGATGTCCACGTGCTGACCCAATCCGGTGACGTGCTTGTTGTGCAGCGCTGCCAGAATGCCAATCACCTTGTTACATCACGTTATGTTATACTATATGATTTTATACTATAAGATATGGTATGATGCTCTATTCTACGATAATCCACTCTATTCTATTAGCAGAAGCTTGAGACTGGGTAGCTGGGGCCCTGACACCATGCAGGCCTGCCGTGAGGTCGAAAAGGGACAAGCCCGTCTTCATCGGCGCACCGTCGGGCTCTCCGGTCAGACTCATGGAGCCGCCCATCGCCTTGAGATTTAGGGTTTAGGGTTTAGGATTTAGGGTCTAGGATTTAGGGTTTAGGGTTTAGGATTTAAGGTTTAGGGTTTAGGATTTAGGGTTCAGGATTCAGGATTTAGGGTTTAGGGTTTACCAGAAGAATCCTAAAACCTAAACCGTTTGCATGCGTGTGTATATATGTACAATATACTCTATTACAGTGTATGATAGTATACTGAATTGCATTGCAGTGCAATCTACTATACTATGTAGAGTAGGTTTGAGAAATAGACTGTGTTGACTTCCATAGTACAGTCTAGCATTATGTGTATATATATATATATATATTCCTAAGCCCTACATCCTATGGGCCTAAAGAAAGAAGAAGACCAGACCAGACCCGGCCTGGATCAGCATGTCATACGCCGGTCTCTTGCTGTAAGGCCCAGTGTGCCCAAAGCCGGTAATGCTGCAATAGATCCTCGGGGTTAGGGTTTTAAGGTTTAGGGTTTAGGGTTTGGGGTTTATAGGGGCTGTGTTGTTTGTGTCTAGGGTTTAGGGTTTAGGCTAGGGGTTTTTAAGGTTTTCCTATAGGGTTCAGAGTTTTAGGGGTTTAGGGGTTAGGGTTGGGCTGGGGTTTAGGGTTTTGGTTCAGGGTGTAGGGTTCAGGTCTTGTTTGGCCTTTATGATTCGTGTAGCCATGGCATCGAGGAAGACGCATGCATCGACAGCTAGAAAACACTGCTCTTGTGCGGCCCAGAATCAGCTGAGGGAAGTCATCCTTCAGCTGGTCGTATCCCAAGCCATACCTTCGCAAAGCTCAGCAAGCACCGAAGAGCCCAAAAAAAAAAAGCGGTCGCGAGCTTTCAGGGTTCAGCCGAGAAGCTTTGCCAAGCCACCGGCTTTGAAGTTCTCGATGACGATATCAGCGCTTTGAAGCAGGTGCTTCACGACATCTTGGCCCTCTTTGGTCTTGAAGTCGACAGCTACACTGTACTTGTTCCTGTTGCAGCTCGAGAAGTATGCTGCAACATCTGAGTCCTCACCGGGGCCCTTCTGCAGGAACGGCGGCGCATAACCTCGGATGCGCTGTCAGAACACAGGTCTTGTGTTTCACAAGCTTGCATCAAAGAGACGTCTGGTGTCATCACCGGACTTGGGTGCTTCCACCTTGATCACCTCTGCTCCCATGTCGGCCATCAGCATTGTTGCCGATGGTCCTCACACCGGGTGCAAGATCTGCACTAAGCTTGCATGGCACCTGCTCGCGACTGCACAGGGTGATGTGGGCCTGCCAGGATCCGGGACAGGTCCAAAATTCGTATTCCTCCGCAGCCCATCAGCTTTGTTCTTTGTGCTGTCACTGCAGGACAAAGTTCGGCCGTCAATTCAGAAACGACACCCTGGAAGACTCTACTGGGCTTGGCTCCTGAAAGCGGGCCGGTAGCAGGGCCGGTAGACAGAGAGAAGCATCTCGAAGTGGCTAAGCGGCACAGATTCACGCTCCTCGACCTGAAAACTTGCATCATGGCCTCGGTCGTCGCGTGAACTGCATGCAGCTCACAAAATCAATAATAGCAACAATACTAGTAGTAGTAGTAGTAGTAGTAGTAGTAGTAGTAGTAGTAGTAGTAGTAGTAGTAGTAGTAGTGGCAGTAGTAGTAGTAGTAGTAGTAGTAGTAGTCGTAGTAGTAGTAGTAGTAGTAGTGGTAGTGGTAGTGGTAGTGTAGTAGTAGTAGTAGTAGTAGTAGTAGTAGTAGTAGTAGTAGTAGTAGTAGTAGTAGTCTTGGTCGTCATCGATCAGCTGAACGGAAACTCCAAGATGAGCTCACGACCCTTGCGTCGGTTCTCCGAACGGACACGCAGGCGCTCACCAGGAAAGACGTTTTGGACCACAAAAATGGGCTTCAGCAGGCAATGTAGTGAGGCTACTGAAAGTACTTCCGACTTATTTGATGTTGATTCTCATTTCTTTGTGATGCTGATTGACAGACAGATCCAACCAGAACAGAGGCTTTCTTGGCGATTCACACACGAGTGAATCGCCAACCAATGCACTTGCAAAAGTGCGAAGATGTCGCTTGAGTACGGGTGCACGTGCATGAACGCTCTTTGCGAGGACTGCGCAGAGCTCCAACCTGCCAGAACCGTCAGAACTCAGAGTTTCAGATCGTTAGCATTCGGTCTCCCTTTGGGAGGCGAACTGCAAGCAATGCCTCAAGTGGGAGAGAACTTGCTGCTGTGTCGAGGCAACATGTCGACTCTTGAAGTCAAT